GTGTGGAACTGTGAGGAACTGAGTGTAGAACTGTGAGGAACTGAGTGTGGAACTGTGAGGAACTGTGTGGAACTGTGTGGAACTGAGTGTAGAACTGTGAGGAACTGAGTGTGGAACTATGAGGAACTGTGTGGAACTGAGTGTAGAACTGTGAGGAACTGTGTGGAACTGTGAGGAACTGAGTGTGGAACTGTGAGGAACTGAGTGTGGAACTGTGAGGAACTGAGTGTGGTACTGAGTGTGGAACTGTGAGGAACTGAGTGTGGAACTGTGAGGAACTGTGTGTGGAACTGTGTGGAACTGAGTGTGGAACTGTGAGGAACTGTGTGTGGAACTGTGTGGAACTGAGTGTGGTACTGAGTGCGGAACTGTGAGGAACTGAGTGTGGAACTGTGAGGAACTGAGTGTGGAACTGTGTGGAACTGTGAGGAACTGAGTGTGGAACTGTGAGGAACTATGAGGAACTGAGTGTGGAACTGTGAGGAACTGAGTGTGGAAGTGAATGTGGAACTGTGAGGAACTGAGTGTGGAACTGTGAGGAACTGAGTGTAGAACTGTGAAGAACTGTGAGGAACTGAGTGTGGAACTCAGTATGGAACTGTGTGGAACTGTGAGGAACTGAGTGTGGAACTGTGAGGAACTGAGTGTGGAACTGTGAGGAACTGAGTGTGGAACTGAGTGTGGAACTGTGAGGAACTGAGTGTGGAACTGTGAGGAACTGAGTGTAGAACTGTGAAGAACTGTGAGGAACTGAGTGTAGAACTGTGAAGAACTGTGAGGAATTGAGTGTGGAACTGTGAGGAACTGTGAGGAACTGAGTGTGGAACTGTGTGGAACTGTGAGGAACTGAGTGTAGAACTGTGAAGAACTGTGAGGAACTGAGTGTGGAACTGAGTGTGGAACTGTGAGGAACTGAGTGTAGAACTGTGAAGAACTGTGAGGAACTGAGTGTGGAACTGTGAGGAACTGTGTGGAACTGTGAGGAACTGAGTGTGGAACTCAGTATGGAACTGTGTGGAACTGTGAGGAACTGAGTGTAGAACTGTGAAGAACTGTGAGGAACTGAGTGTGGAACTCAGTATGGAACTGTGTGGAACTGTGAGGAACTGAGTGTGGAACTGAGTATGGAACTGTGTGGAACTGTGAGGAACTGAGTGTGGAACTGTGAGGAACTGAGTGTGGAACTGTGAGGAACTGAGTGTGGAAGTGAATGTGGAACTGTGAGGAACTGAGTGTGGAACTGTGAGGAACTGAGTGTGAACTGTGAACTGTGAGGAACTGAGTGTGAACTGTGTGGAACTGTGAGGAACTGAGTGTGGAACTGTGAGGAACTGTGAGGAACTGAGTGTGGAACTGTGTGGAACTGTGAGGAACTGAGTGTAGAACTGTGAAGAACTGTGAGGAACTGAGTGTGGAACTGTGTGGAACTGTGAGGAACTGAGTGTAGAACTGTGAGAACTGTGAGGAACTGAGTGTGGAACTGTGTGGAACTGTGAGGAACTGAGTGTGAACTGTGAGGTGAGGAACTGGAGTGTGGGGAACTGAGGTGAGTGGGAACTGAGTGTGGAACTGTGGGAATGAGTGTGGAACTGTGGGAACTGTGAGGAACTGAGTGGTGGGAACTGTGAGACTGGTGTGGAACTGTGGGAACTGGAGGTGGTGGAACTGTGAGGAACTGTGAGGAACTGAGTGTGGAACTGTGAGGAACTGTGTGTGGAACTGAGTGTGGAACTGTGAGGAACTGAGTGTGGAACTGTGAGGAACTGAGTGTGGAAGTGAGTGTGGAACTGTGAGGAACTGAGTGTGGAACTGTGAAGAACTGTGAGGAACTGAGTGTGGAACTGTGAGGAACTGAGTGTGGAACTCAGTATGGAACTGGTGGGACTGTGAGAAACTGTGAGGGACTAAGTGTGGAACTGTGAAGAACTGTGTGGAACTGTGAGGAACTGGGTGGGAACAGTGAAGCGCTGTGGGGGAACCGTGAGGAGCCATGTGGAATGGCATGTGTGGGAACGGGGTGAACAGTGAGAATGGCCTGAGGAACTGTGTGGAAAGTGTGCGTGGAGTCGCATTAGGGATGGCGTGAAGGGTTGTGTGAGGAACCGTGTGAGGAACTGTATGAGGAATGGCGGGGGGAGCTGTTTGAGAAGTGGTAGGGAACGGTGAGGAACCGTGTGTGGAACTGTGTGCAGAACTGTGAGGAAAGCCGTAGAGACCTGTGCGAGGGGTTGTCCGGGAGTGTGGGGAGCTGGATGGGAAACTAGGGAACTGCTGGGCACTGCGTGGCGCTGTGTGACCCGGAAGGAAGTGTGTGGAATGGGGTGGGGCGCTGTGTGGGGACTGGGGCAGAGCTGAAGGGGTTTTCGGGGAGCTGCGTGGATGCTGTGAGGACCGTGGGACACTGAGAAGCCTGTCTCTGTGTGTGGAACGCTGTGCGGGAGCTGCGAGCCCCTGTGGGGAACTCGGAGAAACGGAGGATTGTGTGAGGCGTCCTGTGGGGAGCCGTGTTATGCAATGTTTGAGGAACGTGAGAAACTTTCTGGGGAACTGTGAGGAACTGTGAGATCAAGAGTGTCAGGGACGGGGAGGATTTGCGTGTGGAGAATGGTGAAGAACGCGTGTGTAACGAGGCCCTGCGTGGAGATCCAGGTGAGGATCGGGTGGAACTGTGCAAAGAACTCCACAGAGAACTGTGACAGAATTGCGTGTGGAACTTGTGGGAACACATGACGAACGGTGTGACCGGCAGCCATCACATGGGTGGAGTCCGCGTTCGAGTGACTGCCGTTTTCCATAATGGAGGAATAAAGGGGGAAGCAAGAGGAGCTGCGTGAAGAACCGTTTGGAGAAACGGGAGGAGCTGCGTGGGGAGGCGGGAGGAACTGAGGAACTGTGTGGCGAGCTGCAAGCAGCCGCGTGGGAACCGCGCGGGGAATGGCGGGAGCTCCTTGAGGGACTGAGTGCTTGAGGGTGCGGGACTGAGATGTGGAACCACCGCGTGGGAAGTGCGTGACTGGCTGTGTGAGGGACTGGGAGGAAAAGTGCGAGGGACCCTGCGAGGGACAGTGACAGAGACTTTTGAATTAGCCGAGTGAGAGAGTTTTCGAGGAACTGGTTGAGGAACAGGGCCCGGAGCAGGGAGGCGAGGCCGGCAGGAGCCGGGCGGATCTGAGGATGGGAGGTCCGTTCCCGCTTGTCAGGAGCTGCCTGGCCCAGCTTCAGTGGGCAGCAGCGGGTGGGTTTTCAGCAGGGCTCACAGCGTCTGCTTTAGCCAAGGATGGGTCCTCAGGCCTGCGCGCTGCCTGAAGGATAGGTCAGGAGCAGGGTGGCCTGGTGCGGCAGTCAGGATGGAAGGTCAGCGTTCCGGGCTTGACATGGTGGATGGAGGCTGGGGGACCGAGAAGGGAGAACAGGGTGGTCCTGGGAGATGGCGGAGCACGACTGGACAGAGAAGTGGTGAGGGAGCAGGAAACCCAGGGGGCTGCTGGGCTCCTTGCTGAAATGGCTGAATGACTGGAGGACATTTATGTGGAAGCAAGGAATATGACACATGGCAGAGAATTCACCCTCAGGAATTAAATAATCAGAAACCAAACTAGAGGCCGGGCGCGGTGGCTCACGCCTGTAATCCCAGCACTTTGGAAACCCAAGGCGGGCGGATCATGAGGTCAAGAGATCGAGACCGTCCTGGCCAACATGGTGAAATCCTGTCTCTACTAAAAAAAAAAATACAAAAATTAGCCGGGCATGGTGGCGTGCGCCTGTAATCCTAGCTGCTCAGGAGGCTGAGGCAGGAGAATTGCTTGAACCCAGGAGGTGGAGGTTGCAGTGAGCTGAGATTGTGCCACTGTACTCCAGCCTGGCGACAGAGGGAGACTCCATCTCAAAACAAAAACAAAAGAAAACTAGAAATAGAGTAGAGTTAGTCCCTACCAAGTTTCCAAAGAAAAAAGAAAGCAGTCGGTTGTGCTGCTGAGCTGCAAGATGGACACCCTGAAACCCTGCTCGTGGAGAAGCCAGTGCAGCATTCGGGACCCTCTTTGACAGGGAGTCTCAAGAGCTTTCAAATTTTATGTGCCCTGTGGAGCTTCTCCTGGGGTTGTCTTCAAGAACAATGATGTCTGTGTGTGCACCCAGCCCTTGAGGTGGCATCTATGTGCATGTCCTGGGGTGCAGGCTCCAGGGCCAGAGACCTTGTCTGCCGGCCCAGCAGGCACTCTGCAAATGCTTCGTAAGCCAATGCATACATGAACCAGTAGACATTGGAAGTCACTGAAACCCACAATTAGTGGGATCATTAAGTCAGTCAGAGTGTCCATCAGAAGCAATTCCTGGCAGCCATTATGTGGATGGAGTCCATATTTTAAAGAGCCAATGAAGTAGCAAGAGCATGGAGAATGCTTCATTCTGAGGGGAGGGATGGGAGAACAGGCTGTTAGAGGAAGGCCTGTGAGCTGGCTTCTGCAGGACCATAGGGAGTTTGATGGAGGAGAGGGCAGGTGAACTCTGTGTGAAGGGGAGATTTAAGCTGGCAGGGAGGTAAGTGTGGCAGAGGCCACAGAGGCCTGGAGGGCCACATTTAGCTGTGGGGCCTTTTCCCTTGGGTCAGAAAGAGTCGCTGATGGTGTTCGAGGAGGGGCCATGGGCTCAGATGGATCCTTCAGATGGAGTAAAGGGAGGACACACTTGCTGGTGACCTCAGGACTCCTGGCTGGTGTCCAGCTGGGTGGCCCAGGAGCAGCAGGGATGGACGAGGGAGGAACCTGAAGGATGTGCTAGCAAATCCCTGACTGTGGCCTAGAGGAGGCCTCTGGGGTGGTGCCCTGGGGTCTGGGCAGGGAGAGGCCTGAGCAGTCTGAGAACGTGTCCAGCAGAGCGGGTCCCGCCCCCTGCCCAGCCTCCAGCTTTGAGGACCCACTTGGCAGGGCCTGCACTGGCCCCTCCCTTTCACTTCCTCTCTAGTGGGCTCGGTCTTGACCTTGAATGTTCCTCCCCCACAGAACAAGAAAAAGAAGAAGACAGATTTCATTCCGTACCGAGATTCCGTGTTGACCTGGCTCCTCCGGGAAAACCTGGGTGAGAACTTGTGGGTCTGCCTGTCCCCAGGGCTCTGATCCCACCCTGGGTTGTGCCCTTCTTCCCCACTGAGGGGGTGCCCAGTTGCCAGGAGGCCTCTCACCCTTTCTTGGCTGAGACTGGGAGGTGAACCTGGAGGGTCCAGTCAGTTCATGGCCCTTCTGGAGGGCCTGGGGCAGTGGCCAGCAGTGGGCTAATGAAGCAAGTGTGGGAACCAGGATGGCCCAGGTGGCGGCACAGCACACACCTGCCTATGTCAGTGGTCTGGGTCAGGTGGGCTGTGATACCCAGGCCAAGTATTCACCCTTCTCTGGGCCTTGGTTTCCCCATCTGTCACAGGGGATCTCTGCTTGCTGGGTTTTGAGGGGCTGCCATAAACCTCCTCCTCCCCATTTGAGTTCTGAGCAGTGAGAGTTAGATGGGGAGGTGGGAATTGAAATGCACCCGACGCTGCTCCCGTCTATCCCAGAATAACCTCAGAGTCTTCCCCAACTGCATTTACAGCTGATGCCCAGGGAGGCAAACTGAGTCTTGTACTGACCTAGTGACCGTAGATGACTGGGGGTCCCTGGCCTCCCTCAGCTGCATGGCTGAGGTGTGCAGAGCCCTGGCTGACCACCTCTGCACCCCACAACTAGCCATGCTGCTCCCCAGCTCAGACCAGTAATGCAGATCGCAGCAGGCCTGCGGATGGATGGGCCCCGCTGAGAGAGGAGCAGAGTGTGTTCCTTCACCTGAGATGTGGGCTGGGAAGGAGCCCCCTGCTCCAGGCACACCCAGGTTCATCCCCAGGGCAGGGGCAGGGGAGTCCTCCCATGGAACCTTTCCTAGGGCCCGTGTGTCATGTGCCCAGCCCTTCACACTGTCTCTTCAGTGCCTACAGGGACTCATCAGGGACCCATGCCCTGGGGACACGGCCCTAAGGATACACAGTTTCCTGGGGTCAAGCAGGCAAGATCATCTGTCTAGACTTGAAGTACCACCAGGCAGCCGTCCTGAGGGCTGGGGTGGAGTCAGTGGTGATCTTTTCTGACTGCTGAGGTCACCTAGACAGGATTCCCTGAAGAGAAAGAACACAGTCTGTTCCTCAGGCCACGCATTACCTGATGCTGGGATCCTACTAACCTGGGCCAGGAATCTGATGTTGAATACTGAGGAATGTGTTTCAAATGAAAATGATAGAAGTGCTTGAAAAAATTATTGAACATAAGTGGTATTTATTTTGGAGTAAATACTTTAACACCCTCCACAACTTTTCCTCTCTGCTTTGGGGAAAGGAAGGCCTGATTGTTGTAAAATGGCCCCAAATGTGAGAAAAACACAAGTAGAAGAGAAATAATAGCAGTGCCTGGTGCAGAGATGAAGGGGCAGCCAAGGAAGGCCAGGTCCTTACAGTTGTCTGTGTTCATGGGGATAAGCCTGTGACTCAGTTTACCTCTCTGGGCCTCAGCCTCCCCATCTGTAAATGTGGGGGGATGGGGGGAGCAGTCATAGCACTGGGGCCTAGATCCCCCTCTGGGCACAACCTGGTCTTCCCACAGGCGGTAACTCAAGGACAGCTATGGTGGCAGCCCTGAGTCCTGCAGACATCAACTACGACGAGACCCTCAGCACGCTGAGGTGAGTTCTCCAGGGAGACACTCTGCTCCCTGGGACTCTCCAGGGGAGCTCTGCTCCCTGCTCCCTGGTCTTGGGGGATGGATCCTCCCATGCTTGAATTAAGAGTGTCAGTGAGCAGGGACGACTCTTTGTGAGGGGTATACCCTGGACTTTGTGAGGCTGGAAGGGACTGTTCTGGGGCTCCTGGGCCTGCATGGGCCCTGTTCCATTCCCTCCATGGAGCCTTTGAGGGTGTGCTTTGGGGCTGCGGGTAGCCCAGGGCCCTGTGGCACCGGACTGGGAGAGCTGTGCCTGCTAGGCGAAGCAGTTTACACTCACCTGCCGGCCGGGGTAACCACTGGGGATTTTTAGATAGCAAAGGGGGCATAGGTGTGTCTTATGGGCAAGTGAGCACCTGGGGTGGGGAGCCTGGGCTCCTAGCCGTGCTAGAGGCTGCTCGGTTGTTTGGGTCAGTGGTCTCTCCTCTCTCTTGACCGTGCACCACCAGTGCTTAAGAGAAACAAAGGGCGTGTGTCCCAATAGAGGTTCATGTACTAGCTGGAAATGTAGACATATGCATCAGCTGATACACAGTGTGGACAAAAGCCTACGTACACGTAGCTGTTCTCACATTTTTCCGTTGGACTTTGTCCCTCTACCCTGGGACCACTGGGGGAGAGGACACCACGCTGTCCCTTCTCCCCTGGGCCTCAGTTTCCCCAAGCGGGTGAGCTGTAACTGGGTGACCTCCCCTATAAGTCTCCTCTGGCCTCTGTGGCCCCAAATGCCCTCCCCAGAGACTTGCTATGGGGGCGATTTCTCACTCTGTGCCAGGCCGTGCTGGCTCAGGTCCACCTCTGGCCTGGCTGCTGAGCCTGAAAGGCTGGGTCTTAGGCAGAGCTCTGGGCACCCTTGGGACCTGCCAGGTGTGGACCTGTCCTGAGCACAGCCCACAGACCCCTCTGCCACCCAGGTATGCTGACCGGGCCAAGCAGATCCGCTGCAATGCTGTCATCAATGAGGACCCCAACAACAAGCTGATCCGTGAGCTGAAGGATGAGGTGACCCGGCTGCGGGACCTGCTGTACGCCCAGGGTCTTGGCGACATCACCGACAGTGAGTGCCTGCACCAGCCTGTCCTGGACAGGGTTGTGGGGCCTCAGGCTCAGGGGCCTTGCAGGTCATCACATCGTCTCTCCTGGGGCCACCACTTTGCTGGCTGCAGTCTGGGCTGTGGCAGCTCCACACTGCTCCCAGAGCCCCTCTGGGCCAAATCCCTGTCCCTGCTCCATGTTCCTGGGCAGAACTGCCTCTGGGTGGGAGGCCGGGCGGGGGCCCTGGACAAGGGCAAGTTTCCTGGCCTTGGCCTGGATGGTACCGCATGGTTTGGGTTCAGTGCTGATGCAAGTGGGCCACAGACGGCTCCCCTGGAAGCCCCATAGGCAGGCTGTGGGTGCTGGGGTCACAGCGGCCCCCCGTGTTCTGGAGCTGAAGACCTTCACCACCTGCTTGTGGCCACTCACCCACTGCTGGCCACCCTGGCCTGTGAAAGGCGTGCCTGACCCTCTGGAGACAAACCTGTTCTTCTGTTTCTTTGTCTCTCCCCCTCCCCCACGCTTCCCTCCCCCGTAGCCAACACTGTGCCTGGAGGACCCAAATGTGTGTATTCCCTTTGCTGCTCTCTGCATCTCTGCTTCCAGCCCCAGCCAGCATGAGGGCCTAGGGCGGCACGGGCAGGGAGGGGTGAACCCCAGGGCACCTGCTCTGCTTTCTTCTCCTTTTTGGGGGCAGAAAGCACTGCTCTCGCTCAGTCACAGGGCCCTGCTGGTAGATGTGGGACTCTGTCTGCCTCTGAGCCCACACTCCTGGCTCATTCCTACTCATGGTCTACATGAGAAACCAAGGCAACAGGGGAGTCAGGGTGTGGCTGAGGCCTTCTCAGGCTAAACGTGGCCGAGGTCAGGCCCTGTGACCCCCCCGTGCACCCAGAGGCCTGCGAAGGTCAGGATATCAGCACCAAAGGGCCAGGAGGGCTGGAGGGACTGTCCTGTCCCCAGCTCTTGGCTCAGGCCTCCGTCTGCAATGCCATTTCTCCAGCTGACCTGACCCCCCACGCCCGGGCCCTCTACTCTGGAAATGCCACAAGCTCAGCTTTCACAGTGGATGCTGCCAAATCCCGCCCAGCCTTTGTGCCTCCTGGCCTTGGGCCTGGCTCCATGGGGCTCAACGCCTCCCCGAGCCCGGCTGCAGGGCGCCCTCCACTTCCCCCACACCCCATGTGGTCCCGTGCTTGCTGCTGCTCTGCTGTGTGTTTGCTTCTGCTAGGAGACCCCTGGCACCACCCACTCCAGAGATGTCACAGCCCTACCTCCCGGGCCTTGGGGATACATGAGGCCTAGGCTGGTGGGTGAGCTCCTTGTGGTGGAGGGGAAGGGCCTCCCTCTTGAGGGTCCCATGTTCACCTCCTCCAGGATGGTCTCTGGGCCAATTTCCACGTCAGTGGGCTGAACAGTTAGTGCAGCCCGGCCCTACAGCTCAGGGGTGTGTGGTGTCCCAGGCTGACAGTGGGTGCGAGGGGTGGGAGGACAAGCGTGGGGGTCTGTACGGGGCACTGCTGGGTGACCATGCCAAGCCAGTGGACAGGGCGGGAAGATGCAGGGAGGACAGGCTCCCAGCCCTCAGGTGCAGGGGCTGCAGGGCGGCCTGGCAGTGGGACCTGGAGTGCAACTGAGGGAAAGCAAGAAGCCTGGTGCAGGGGGTGCAGGGGAGCTCCAGGGTGCCCAGGGCCATGCCACGCTGCTGCTGGGGAGGGCAGGCCTGGGGAGCAGGCGGGCAAGTGGGCGCCACTGCCAGCCCGGTCCCATCATAGGCAAGGGGTGGCAGGAAGGCCTTGCATGCGCTTGTCCTGGGCCGGGCAGGGCTGCTGTGCCTTGTTGGTGGTTTCTGTTTCTTGCCTTCTCTGAGCCCCACCTCTTACTTTTTCCCATCTTCATCTTTTTTCTCTCCCTCCCTCTGTCTGTCTGCCTGCCCTACCCCTCCTCCCCATAGACGTGTCCGACCTTGAGAACAATAACCTTAACCGTGGCGGGACGGTGAATGAAGCCCCTGACCCTCTCTCCACAGTGACCAATGCCCTGGTGGGTATGAGCCCCTCATCCTCGCTCTCAGCCCTGTCCAGCCGCGCAGCCTCCGTGTCCAGCCTCCACGAGCGCATCTTGTTTGCCCCAGGCAGCGAGGAGGCCATTGAAAGACTGAAGGTGAGGGCACTACTTGGGGCTTCGCTTTGGGGTGTCAGACTCTGGGAGTGGGGAGCTCGGAGGAATTAGAGGCACCTTGCCCTCCTGGGCACAGCCTATCCTCATAGGTCCATTGTGGAGCACCAGCAGGAGCCTCTGGCGTGTGGCCACCCAGGTGCCCTGTGTCCTGTCTCTAGACCACCCATAGCAGTCAAGGCAACCAGTTCACTCAGGGGTCCCCAGGCTGTGGGCTGCACAACACTCAGCTGCTGGACAGGAAATGCCCCTGCAGGACCCTAGACCTGGGTGTCTGGATGGCCTGTGCCCCCACCCATGCCACGCCTGGACCAGAGAAGCTCCAAGAATGAATGTCCAGGACTGAGACTCTTCCTGTCGAGTCTTTAATTGTGTGAGTGGGCGCTTGTTCAAGGACCAGTGAGGTGGATGGCATCTGTGGGTGGAGAGGAGTCTCGCCCCTCCCCACCCCACAGCACCCCCTCCACTGGTGACAGCCCCAGGTCACAGCAGCTTCCTGGCTGGCGTCCTATAGAGTTACACTCCCTGAGGAGGGTGGTGAGCGTGGTGCAGGCTCCTGAGCCCCTTCCAGGCCAACCTGTGTTCACACCTGCACACCTGCCTGGGAATAGTCACCACCTCCAACCACTCCCAGGCACAGTGTGCTCCCTGGTGCCCAGCAACGGGCCAGGATCATTTTAGGTTTCCAGTCACACGCCCCTCAGTGAATGGCTGTGCAGGGGCAGGTGAACCACACGCCTGGAGACTGAGGAGCTGAGGGGAAAAGGCAGAGGCCCCATCAAGGCCAGTGTGAGGAAGGGGATGGGGGCGAGGTTGGGCCTGTGACCCTGGAGCAGAGAGCCCTTCTGGGGTGTTGGGGTCCCATTGGGCTGTGGGTGGGAAGAAAAAGGAGAGACCAGGCTGATGCTGGGCAGTGTCCTGAAGAGGGGTGAGTACCTGGGCCTCTCGGCAGCAGCGAGGATGGCTGTGCTTTAGGAGCCGAGGCTCAGCATCTCCCAGGAGCATTTGCTTCTCTTTTCCTTCCAGATTTGTTTTGCATTTTCCCCATTCTCTTGAGCGTGTCTAAGGGAAAGACACACATTCTCTGAGCTTCACCTTGGTCTTCTGGACACCTCCTGTGCCTGGACGGGCCCAGGAACGTGGCTCTTGTGCTTTGATGCCCCTTCTCCTGGCACCTGTGTCTCCATGGTCCTCTCCCTTGGCCCCAGCCCTGGCAGCTCACTGTGCTCTGCCTCAATCCCCAGGAAACAGAGAAGATCATAGCTGAGCTCAACGAGACCTGGGAGGAGAAACTGCGGCGGACAGAAGCCATCCGGATGGAGAGGTGTGCATTGGGGAAACTGAGGCCCAGGGGGAGGGTTGCAGCCAGCAAGCCCGTAGCCTGGGCAGGATGAGCACTGAGCCCTGCCCTCCAGTGCTGGGCACCTGCACCCTGGGGTGGCCACATCCCAGCCCAGGGCAAACCTGTTTCCTCACGCCCAATAACCCCCACCTTGTATACTGCTGGCTGCTGGCCGCCGGGGCCTGAGAGACCTGAGGCCTGATAGACCTGATCCCTGACCATGGTGCGGAGGGGCCCGTCCCATCAGCAGATGCCCTAATACAGTGACCAGATGGGACACACATGGGCACCACCCAGGCCACGGTGGCCACAGGCCCACTGCCCACATTGGTCAGCCAGCGCTGAGGCCAGTGCCGGAAGCCTTGTGGAGCTTGTGCTGACCTCATCTCTGTTCCCCCAGGGAAGCCCTGCTGGCCGAGATGGGTGTGGCCATGAGGGAGGATGGCGGCACCTTGGGCGTATTCTCTCCCAAAAAGGTAGGAGCTATCTCAGTTCTGTGGTACTGCCCTGATCTGACTAGGACCAGGTGAGGGGCTGTCTCAGGTAGAACCAGAGGGGACTTCTGGGAGTAGGGGGCACGGCGGGGCTCTGGCCCAGGCACTGGGGCTGTGAAGCCCACCCACAGTCACACTTTGCTTTTCGTGGAGAATTCAGTGCCCACATTCTCATGGTGGGGCGTCCTGGCGGCTTTGGGATGTCAGATGGGTCTCTTAGTGGCCTGGAGTGTGGACTGGGCTCCCCAGTGTCAGGGCAAGGCTGAGAAGCCAACGCCCAGGCTGGAGACTGAGACGTGAGGGGCCTGGACCTGCCCTGGAGCCTGTGCTGCTCACACAGCTGGGCGCCAGCTGCCTTCTTGGAACTCAGCTGGAGTCAGGTCTGACTGTTCCAGCGGGGACCCCTCTTCTTCCACCAGGCCAAGCCTAAGGAGTCTTTCAGCTGGGGGCCCTCAAATGGCACAGAACCCCTGGGCAGCTGCTTCAGAGTGTATACAACTCTTGTGCCCCCATCCAGCAGCCCAGGTGGGGCATGACACACACACTTGGGAAAAAGTCTTTCTTCTGGTTGTAGTCCCCAAACCCCACACACCCACCCCAAAGATGGCCAGGACATGGGGACAGACACCTGTGTGTCCGTAGCTTGGGAGGGTCTGGGCAGGGCTGTGATCCAGGCCAGGGGCCCAGCACATGCTGAGGTCCAGAGGCAGGAAGGGCCTGAGAAGAGCTGTAGGGAGATTCCAGTCCTGGGCAGGGCGGGGACAGGCAGTCCCCTAATGGGGCTTCACTACACACGTCTTCCAGACAGGCCTTTGGTTTGGTTTGGAATGGATTGTTCCCCGTACTGTTTCAGGCCCCATCCCCTTCCTGGAGGGTTAGGGTGGAACTCCAGGGGTGCAGCTTTATTGGTGGCCCTGGGTCTGGGCACTGCCCAGAAGTGGGACCACTGGAGACCCCGTTCTTGAGAAGTTCAGTGTTCTTGGGAGTCACGAGATGTTCGCAGGCCAGTGGGGTCCCAAGGCTACAGCCCCTACTCAGCCCCAACGCCGTGGGCACAGCCCTCCTGGCTGGACATCTTCCCCACTCGGGGGGCAGGGATGGCTGGGGATGGTCTGTCCCCTTCGTCCAGTGTCAAGGTCTCCACCTCTCTGTGTGGGGGTGCCTCAGGTGGCTCATCAAGGATCCTTTCACAACTGCTTCACTCCCCAGACCCCAGGGCTGAGCCTTCCATGGTCAGTGTCCTGATCCTTCTTGGTTCTTGGCTCCCACTGGCGAGCCCACAGTTTCTGGGCTGTCTGAGCTGGAATGGGGTCCTGGAATCCCATTTTACAGTCCAAAGCTGAGAACCCAGGACCCCATGGGACAAAGCCTGTGGTCTGCACATCTGGGGGCTCACCCCAGCCTCAGAGGGCCCCAGGGGCCTGACATGCTGAGAGCAGGGGCTCTCTGCCTTTCTGGAAGCCCAGCTTCTGCTGCAGTGCTGGGGCTGCTGTGCCAAGCCTGGGTGTACGCGGGTGGTCGGGTCCCACCAGCCTGCTGCTGTTGGTGGGCTGGGCCTACGGCTTGCGCTTTCTGTGTTCCTCATTTTCCTGGCTTGGAGTGACCAGCCTGGTGGGAGTATAGGGGCAGGGGCCCTGGAGGTGGTCTGGTGCCTGGGGAGAGGTCGGAGCAGGGTGCGGCCAGCGTCGGGCTCCTGCCCCCTGCAGGAGAGATGATCCTCCTGTCTCCCTGCAGACACCACACCTCGTCAACCTGAACGAGGACCCGCTGATGTCCGAGTGCCTCCTCTACTACATCAAGGATGGGATCACCAGGTGAGAGGGGACCTGGCAGCCACTCCAGCCTGGCCAGGCCCTGGGATATGGCAGAGGAAGGGTGGAATCCCCATTCCTGCTGCTGCAAAGGGGCCACTGAGTTTGGACTTCTCCAGCGACTGCTGATGTCTGCCCTGGCTGTTTCCCAAACAATCCTGACTGGGTGTCCCTGGAGGCCAGTGGGTGGCATCCCGGGTGTGCTGGGTCCCGGCTGCAGTTCTGATGGTGCCCCCACCCCGCAGAGTGGGCAGGGAGGATGGCGAGAGGCGGCAGGACATCGTTCTGAGTGGGCATTTCATCAAGGAGGAGCACTGTGTCTTCCGGAGCGACTCCAGGGGAGGCAGTGAAGGTATGGCCACCCTGCCGTCCCCACCCGCACCCACGGCCCTGTGCTGTGATGATCAGGCCTGAAGAGGTCACCCTGTCCCAGCCTCCCCAGCTCTACGTGGGTGGCGAGTCATACTTCTAGGCAGGGTGTGTCTGTGTGTGTGTGTGTGTGTGTGTGTGTGTGTGTGTGTATGTGTGTGTGGGAGAGAGAGATTTGGAGAGACACATTTGGGGCCAGCCTTGAAGACAACTTCCATTAGGTTGGTGCTTGAGAAAATGCCTGGTGCCTTCTGTGGCCAGAGGTGGCTGCTGCCTTAGGGAGCTGAGCCTCCTTGAGGGCTGGAAGTGGGGGCACAGGTGGGCTGCTGGCCGGGAAGTGTGTTGGGGCCCAGGGTGGAGGATGTTCATGGCGGGAGGACAGTGAGCCATGAGGAGTGAGCCCAGATCTAGGGTGGAAAACTATTTCCAGACCTTGATTTCCTGTTGGCTGTGGGCTGCCATCTGTCCGTTTCCCCTGCCTGCCCAGTGATCTCCCTCCCGGAGATGATGCGGGGCTGTCCCCATTGCCTGGTGCTGCCCAACTCGGGGATGGGCCTGTGGTGTCGGTGTGCCGTCACATGGCCCACAGCCTGGGCTAAGGGCATCTCCTGGCAGCATCCAGCCAGCCTCTGGCCTGCAGACCTGTGACTGACATCCACTGTCCAACTTGGCCATCTCAGGATGATGGCTCTAAGTGGTGTTGGGACGGTTGGCTCTCTTGGAATTCTCTGACTGCAAGGTCCTGCCTGCCATCTCCTGTAGGGTGGCCCAGGCCCCATTAGCTGGTGTTTTTATCCTTGTCTACCTGGAGAGCTGGACAGGGCCCTGGGTGATCAGGCCCAGCACAGCCTCTCAGCTTCAACGTGGGCACATGCATCCTCCTCCTGGGGGTCACTTTCTTCCTCTGTTGGGTGGGGTGAGACCCCTAGGCTCCTCTGAGGCCCAAATGAGTGTTGCCAATGGTCAGGGTCTGTGTAGCAGGGAGAAGAGAGGCCTGGAGGAGGCCATGCCCGGGGGCCAGGTAAGTCGAGCTGCTGTAGGTGACAGCCATTTATACTCCTCTCCTCTCTGCCCCTCCCACCTTTCCTGTAGCTGTGGTGACCTTGGAGCCCTGTGAGGGGGCAGACACCTACGTCAACGGCAAGAAAGTCACAGAGCCCAGCATCCTGCGGTCAGGTATGGCTGGGGACTCCAGGGGCCGGTCAGGTAGGCAGAGGCATGAGATGAGACCTCTGTTCCCATGTCCAAGCCACCACCTCCTGTGCACTGTGCAGGACGGCAGCTCTTAAGGGCTGCGGGCCAGGTAGGGGAGGGGGCTGCGGGTACCTGACCAGCTCACGTGCCTCCCCAGTCCCCCAGCTCTAGGAACACAGCACTACAGGCCCCATTCACACAACACAAGGACCCTGAGGCACTGAGTCCATGCTGGGGGCTGAGTAAGGAGCAGGGTCTGCCTGCCTGGGAAGAAGCTCCTGCCTCCCGGCCCAGGACTGTGCCCTGTGGGGCTGGTCGGGGGGAGACAGGGCTTTGGACAGAGGCTTCCCAGAGCTGAGGTGTTGTGGAGCATCAGCGGGGTGGGGGCTGCTCCAGCCTCTGAATGTAGCACCCCAGGTGGGGTTGGGCTCTGTTCCCAGACACTGCAGTGTCTGTGATATTCAAACACGTGCAGGCACACATGGTATAAAGTCCCTTCTTTAGAGAAGTCAGACAGGGGGCCCTCCGGAGTGGCGTGTGACTATCACCCAGGCAGTTAGGGTTCCACCAGAGAAACAGCAGCAGCCTGACGCACAGACGTGGCTGTAGACATGGTGTAGTGAGACAGGCTGTAGACTGAGATGTAGTGAGATACGTACAACCATGTCTAGGTATAAAGAGATTTATTTCAAGGAATTGGCTTATCAGATGAGGGGGGCTGGTCAGGGAAGTCTGAAATCCATGGGCAGGTGGCAAGCTGGGAACTCGGCGGGAGTGGACTCCGTCCGCTGGGTTTCTTCTTCCTCAGAGGAAGCCCCAGTTTGCTCTTAGGTCTTCCCCTGCTTGGACGAGGCCCACCCCACCGTTGGGCGCCTCCTTGACTTCCATCAGCCGCTTGCAGGTGTGGAGCACGTGTGCAGAAACCTCCACACAACAGCCGGGGAGGGCGTGGCTGAATCACTGGGTGCTGTGGCCTGGCCAGGCTGACATAAAAGTCACCATTGGCTTGGAACAGGGGAGACCCTTTCCCGACCCTGTCTTGGGGGAAAGCAGAGGGATGAGGAGGGGCAGGTGACACCCAGGGGCCCCACTTCTAGCCCATCTGCCCACCCCTGAAGGCTTTCAGAGGAGTCCCCAGGACTCAGGAATCCCGCCTTTGGGGTCCCTGGGCAGGAGGGCAGGACACGCTGAATGTCCTGAGTTCGTGGGGTAGCCTTGTCATGGGGAGTTGGTGTGGCTAAGCCTGGGCAACAGCAGGTCAGACGGACAGACAGACAGCTGTGCCCATTCTCCCTACTTATTTCGGAGTTGGCCCTGGTGCCTGTGGGGCTCAGGGCGGGGCCTAAGCTAAGAGAGGCCTTAGCTTGGTGTTTCCCTCCCAGTGTCCAAGGTGGGTTGCGCACGGCCTGTGGACAGGGAGGACAGAGGAAGTAGCCAGCTGAGAGCGGCCAACAAGGAGGCGCTGAGGGAGGACAGACCTGCAGGCACAGTCCACCTGGGTGGGAGGCAGGGCAGAGCCGGCTCTATGGAGCCCCAAGACAGAGCTACAGCTCCCAGGGAAAGTCAGAGGGAAACTAGGCCATCCAAAGATAGCCCCTGCATGCAGGGCTGTCCCAAGACAGTGAGTGCTGCCCTGGAGGGCCCTGCAGATGAGGCAGCCCTGAGTGGGGTCCAGTCGGGTGCCGGGGTAGGAGGGGCTGGACTGATGCTCACACCTTGGAGGCCCTGATGCTGAGGCTCTGCAGCCACCTGTGCCTGCTAGCTGCCACCCCTGCTTCCTTCTTGTGGTCTCTTGACTCCGGACCCTGAACCCCAGCCCTGGGCACAGGGGACCTGCCCCAGCCCTGCTTCCAGTCTAGTGGGGAAGACAGATAGAAGGGAAGGGTCCTGTGCCCTGCAACAGTGCTCTGTGGGGGGCCCAAGCCCAGCCCTGGGGGGCACCAGCCCCAGACTGGATGTGAGAGGGAGGGTCCTGGCTGTGTGCACGGGGGCTTGGGGGCAGGAGGCAAGTGCAAGGCTGGCCTGGGAAGGGGCGGGGACACTGGAGCACAGCAGAGGCCCCACATCTGTGGTTTGCACATGTCACCGGCTGCTGAGTAGAGAGCAGCCAAGGGTGGATTTATGGGGAGAGTGAGGAGACACATTCAGGTCCCAGCAAGGGCTGGAGAAGGAGTGGCTGGGAGCTGCGGATGGTGGGGTGCCTGCACCCATTCCTCCTTCTCCTCACGTCTCCCCGCTTGAGACCATCAGAGACCTGAAGGTCCCTCAAGGCCACCTGTCCTTTGGTCCCCCAGGAAACCGCATCATCATGGGTAAGAGCCACGTGTTCCGGTTCAACCACCCCGAGCAGGCCCGGCAGGAGCGTGAGCGCACGCCCTGTGCGGAGACGCCAGCTGAGCCTGTGGACTGGGCCTTTGCCCAGCGTGAGCTGCTGGAGAAGCAGGGCATCGACATGAAGCAGGAGATGGAACAGAGGTGAGGCGGAGGACACCCCCGTCTGCCTGCTGCCACTCCTGCCCTCCCGTGCTCACCCCAACGCCCCATTGCAGGCTCCAGGAACTGGAGGACCAGTACCGCCGCGAGCGGGAGGAGGCCACTTACCTGCTGGAGCAGCAGCGGCTGGTGAGTGACGGGGCCCCGCCCTCCCTGCGAGCCGCCACCTACGCCAGAGGACGCCTGTCCTCCCATGCCCCTACTTCCTGCTTGCCTGGCCCCATCTCTTGCATCCAAACAGTGGGATGTGGTGAGGCCCACTGTCCAGGCACAGTGCGCGAGGCCCGGGCAGGTAGGGCCGTAGTGGAGTCACAGGCCTTCTTTCTGCAGGACTACGAGAGCAAGCTGGAGGCTCTGCAGAAGCAGATGGACTCCAGGTACTACCCGGAGGTGAACGAGGAGGAGGAGGAGCCCGAGGATGAAGGTGAGGGGTCACTGGGCCAGCACCTGCTGTGTCAGGAGGGTCTCAGCATGGAGGTGGGCAGCCCTGGGCCCCTCCCTGGAGGTCACTGGTCAGCACTTTTGCACTGGGGTCTGGACCTGTCTCTTTAGGGGAGACCCCCTTGCCCTGGAAGCCCCGTGAAAGCAGGATTTGGGGAGCAGGGAGACTGTGCCACAGCTAGCAAGCAGCTCTGCACACTCACACACTTGCGTGTGTACACACAGGTACATATTCACATGCACACACGTACACACGTGTGCACACACATGTTGCCTCTGATAGGAGTGTCTGGATGTTGATGGGGAATGGGGAATGAGGCTGGTAGGGGCTCACCATGCTTATAGGCGTCCACTCTTCCCGTCCTGCTGACCACAAGGCTCGTGGGGTCCCCGAGGAAGAGTCCACTGTGCACATCACCTCAGGATTCCCTTAGTGAGCATGCGCTCAGGGGGCCAACCCGGCTGACCTCCCACAGCTGTGGGCAGCGGTGGCCCACATGCAGGTGGGGAGGGGTTTGTGCCCATCTCGGCTTCTGGCCAGCTGGTCGGCAGCTTTGTGCTGGCATGACCTTGGCCTCTTCCCCTGTTTGGCCTCATTTACCCAGCGAGGCTCCCTCCCACGGCAAAGCTCAGGCGCGCCCGACTGGGGGCAGCCAAAGGCACATAGTGCTGTGTTGGGAGGAGAGATGGGGCCTCAGCACAAGGACAAGTCCCTCCTTGTGTCCCTGCTTGTCGTTCTCTCAAGGGCCCAGTGGACAGACAGGGCATGGGCAGGGAGAGGGTGTACGGGCCAGCACCGCCTGGGAGGACCTGGCTTGCCCTCCTGCCTCCTCTCCTGTGGGTCCTGCTCCCCACTGCTGGCCCCGGATGGCATGTGGCTGTCATTGACAGTGTTGCTCCTCAGCCACTCCCATCTTCAGCCTGACTCACAAGGCTGCTCATGGCGGCCTCTCCTTTGGGGCACGCAGAGCTTTTCATGTTGCCCACCGTGACGGAGCTCTCTGCCGGTTTCTTCTTTCTGTGTACCCAAATCGTCAGTGTGAAACGGCGGGGCCAAGCACAGAGCTCTCCCAGCCCAGGCCCAGAGTGGGAGGAAGCCTGGGGAGAGAGGGGCCCGTTCACCTCCGGCCTCAGTGACTACAGGGGGAGTAACCTTCCGGCCTTCCATCTTTTTACCTGATGACCACCCGGCCGTGATGTACACAGAGCACAGGGCCAGCTTAGGCAGCCCTGTGGAGTGGCTGACCGGACGGACCTTCCAGAGGGCAGGACATGGTGGGCAGGGTCGTGGCCTTCCTGCGATGACCACCTGTGACCTCTCCCCACAGTCCAGTGGACGGAGCGGGAGTGTGAGCTGGCACTCTGGGCCTTCCGGAAGTGGAAGTGGTACCAGTTTACGTCTCTGCGGGACCTGCTGTGGGGCAACGCCATCTTCCTCAAGGAGGCCAATGCCATCAGCGTGGAGCTGAAAAAGAAGGTGGGCTGCCCACTGGCTGCACCGTTTCCTGTTGGAGAGAGTGCGTCACCTCACTCATGACGGGGACGGCTGCTTGGGACTCAGCGCTTGGCTGTCTGCCAGCCCTGGGGGTGGCGTAGCAGCCCTGCCTGACCTGGGCCCCCCAGAAGGGTGGGCGGTGAGGGAGCCCAGGACTGGCCAGGTGGGAATTGGCTGCCCTGCTCACGGGAGACGGAGGCCGGGTGGACAGGCAGAAAGCAGGTGGTCCCCTCTGGCGGCTGTCTGGAAGGTTCCAGTGAACCACTGTGGGGCAGGCAGCTGAAATCTCCAGAAGGTGGGAAGGAAACCTTTCTGGGGACCTGGCACCCTGTGCCCCAAGGAGCTGATGAGTGGTCATCTTCCCCCATCACAGGTACAATTCCAGTTTGTCCTCCTGACGGACACACTCTACTCCCCTCTGCCACCCGACCTGCTGCCCCCAGAGGCCGCCAAAGACCGAGAGACGCGGCCCTTCCCACGCACTATTGTGGCCGTGGAGGTCCAGGACCAGAAGAACGGGGCCACCCACTACTGGACGCTGGAGAAGCTCAGGTGTGGCTGGAGGGCTGCTGGGTGGACGGTGGGAGGGTCCTCCTGGGCGAGGCCACAGGAGCGGTGGTGGGCACAGGCTTCGCGGCGGGTACCTGCAGACACCGCTTTTCCTCCTGTTCCAATTCTTTTAAAATCAGAAGAAAAATGTGGATAGAGTCCAGCCTTGTAGAATCCTCATTCTCTTACTACCAATGCAGCAATCGTACATAAACATAGAGTTGGGCGTTTTCTTTCGGAGGAAAGGACAGATAAGGGGAATGCTCCCTAGGCCCACAGGGGTCAGGATGGTGCAGTGGAGGGGAGGGCAGGCTGTGGCACCGACAGAACAGGCCGGCGGAACACCCAGAGCGGGTACAGCAGGGCCTGAAGGGTGGCTCCCCAGAGGGGCTGGGAGAGGTGGTGGGGGGCGGAAGGAATGTCCCCTTGCTCCTCCATTCAGGAAGCTGCCAGGAGGTGGATGCCTTAGCTGAGCCCAGTGGAAGGTGGAGGAGGAGCTAAGGTGGGGGTGGCGAGGAGGAAGCCTGGGCTGTGCCCCTTTGTGCCCAATGTGAGCTCGTGTCCTTCCTAAAGCTCGGCCTCTGCTGTCCCCACATGCTCACTCTGATTTGTCTTGAGCCTTAATTTTTTTTTTCTTTAAGTGACAAGGCCTTGCTCTATTGCTCAGGCTGGAGTGCAGTGGTGTGATCACAGCTCGCTGCAGCTCGAACTCCTGGGCACAAGTCATTGTTCCACCTCAGCCTCCCAAGTAGCTGGGACCACAGGTGTGGAGTGCACCATGGCACCCAGCTAATTTTTTATTTTTTTTTGTAGTAGAAATGAGGTCTCGCTCTGTTGCGCAGGCTGACCTCTAACTCCTGGCCTCAACCAATCCTTGCACCTTGACCTCCAAAAGTACTAGCATTATAGGTGTGAGCCACTGCGCCCAGCCAGGCCTTAAGTTATGGGGGTGACTGAGTCACCCTGTGAGGTCAGCACCAACAGTGGAGGAGTTGAATGTCACTCACAGGCCCCTGGAAAGCAGAGCATGGCATGCCCCGCCCTGCAGGGCTACACAGGGAGGCACCAGGGCCCATCAGGAGGCAGAAAGGAATGGGAGAAGGCCCAGGCGACAGCCTGGGGTTGTGGGAAAGGCCAGGCAGGGCAAGGAGACTGCTTAGGCTTGGCTAGTTTGAATAATTCTGCAGAGCTCTGGGGCATAGGGCTGTCCCTAGTTGTCAGGTACCTGACCCTGGGTGATTTAGGCCAGGGGGAATATTGGTCTGGTATGTGAAAAAGTTAGAGAAGGGAGGTGGCTGGGGTACAGACTTGGGATTGGTTGGTTTGTGTAGGAAAGGCAGGGGTGATGGCAAGTTGCTGACTGTCTCTAGGAAGTAGCAGGACCTGGGCAGCTCTCCCCAGCCTGCAGTGCCCCCCAAAGATATCAAAACATCACAAGTACAGAAAATAAAAATATGATTAATGTACTCATGCACACATACACATTCATGCAAACACACACACACTAATAAGCATTCATGAAGACGTGCACATATATGCAGCGTACACTCCCACAGTCACGCTCCTCATTCTTCTCCCCTGTTCTCCCAGGTTACATGGCTTTTGGAAGGACAGGCAGCCACTGTTGATGTGGTTTCTCTTATACCTGAGACCTAGGGGCACAATGATTGCTTTTCTTTCCTTCCACAACATTTGAGGGGAGTGCTCCCACAATAATAATAATTTTTAGGCTATTTTCTCTGTCTTCTGTGTCCCTACCTCCAGTTTGCCCTTTATTCCTTGAGCTCTTGGGCCTCTGTGGCCTGATCCCCCTTTCTGAGCTTCACTTGGGTTCTCTTCTTGCCTCTCTGCCAACTTTCCAGCAGCCCAGTGCTGCCAGCACCTCGAGCCCCCCACTGCTGGTTCCCCGGCCCACCCCCTGGTGGGAATTTGGGAGGAGCTGTTGGTGACCTTGCATGCTTAGCTGAGTGTGTTACCTATGGCTGACCAGCTCCAAGGGTCACAGAGGGGTCTGTCTAGCAAGCCCCCTGAACCTTGATGACCCTGAGCTGGATGTTGTGGCTGGAGCTGGGCTGAGTTCATTGTCCCCAGGAGATAAGGGTGTGTAGTGCCAGCTACTGAGTGCTGGGCCTGGGTCCACATTGACCCCTGCCGTCCCTGCAGGCAGCGCCTGGACCTGATGCGGGAGATGTACGACCGCGCTGCAGAGGTGCCCTCCAGTGTCATCGAGGACTGTGACAACGTGGTGACCGGCGGAGACCCCTTCTATGACCGCTTCCCCTGGTTCCGGCTGGTGGGCAGGTGGGCACCTCCTCCCTTCCTTGGCAGAGAGAGAGAGAGACTGAGAGAGAGAGAGAATGAGAGACTGAGAGAGAGAGATGGCAGTGGGGGTAGGAGTGGGCCCTGGCCTGACACAAGGAGCAGCCCTGACAGGTGCTTTTCCAGCCCCAGACTTCCAGCCCTGTCCTCCCTGGCCTGAGGTTCCTCCCAGCCATTCCTCTCCACACATCACAGGACCTATTATTTCAGGGGACGTGGGATGGGGTCTTGGCACTGCCACCCAAATCCACTACAGGGCTGTAGCCGCCAGAACCCATGCTATCTGTGTGTGAATATGTGAGGCTCCCAAGCAAACTCTCCGGGTCACCTGGTGGCCCTGAGGGTGGGAACATGGAGGCAGGGCTGTGTCACCCAAGCCTTAGAGACGACTGCCTCCTTCCCTGGTCTCCCAGTCTGGGGTCTGCACCCAGCCCCCTTCACCCCATGGGACTGTGGCATTCTGAGGCCTCAAAGTGGCCAAACTCTCGAGGTCCTCATATGGCCTCAGCCACTCCCAGCCGAGACCCCTGTTCTCAGTCCCACCTGCAGGTGTCCTCCGGAACTTTCCGGAACCTTCCTGCTGGCCATACATGTGATTTCTTTCCAAGACTGGGGGCACAGTTTTGGTTCTCTTGTCTTTTAAAGCAGCATTCTCGATGGTCTGTGTGTTTGGTTTTGGTTTTAAACAGAAGTTCCCCCCAGCCCCGGCCCCAGCCCCTGTTCGTCCCTGCGAGTCGCTGGTGTTAACTTCTCTCTGTCTTGTCGCACTAACCTCAGTTCAGCCATCTCTGGCTGCAACAGCTACCCTCTTCTGAACACATGCATGAGCGAGCGCATGGCTGCTCTCACCCCCTCCCCCACCTTCTCGAGCCCCGACTCCGACGCCACCGAGCCTGCCGAGGAGCAGAGCGTGGGGGAGGAGGAGGAGGAGGAGGAGGAGGAGGAGGAGGAGGAGGAGGACCTGGAGGACGACGTCTTTCCGGAGCACGAGCTGTGCGACGGCCGGGACCCGTTTTACGACCGGCCCCCCCTGTTCAGTTTAGTAGGAAGGTTGGTGAGGTCGAGGAGAGCATGCTGGGGAGGACCCAGCTCTTTTGCACAGGAGCACTGCTGCGGGCACAGATGGACTGCTGGGGCCTGGCCCGGGCCCTCCCAGGGCAGGCGAGGCAGGTGGAGGGGCTGACCTCCTGAGGAGAGCACCCAAGGGCCCCCGGGCCCTGCATCCTTGCAGTGGGGCTGCTCACCCATCCTGGAGACGGTTGCTTTGGGCCAGCAGGGAAGAGTCCGGGTTCCAGGTACAGAAGAAGTAGTGCACCCCGGAGCTTGCAGCTGTGGCCCCAGGCAGGTGGGACTATTTCTGCAGAGAGGCCGTAGGAACCCCAGGGTGGCTCAGGCACCCAATGGCCGAGTTCCTCCCTGAAAGTCCCAGTGCAGGGCCCGAGGGACATTTGGTAGGTGAGGGCCAGCCACCCCCAAGCTGGATGCCCGTTCTGTCATTCTCCTGGGATTCAACACTGTCCTAGCGCAGGCAGCCTCACCCCAGCTCAGCTGTCATCCAGAAGAGAGAGAGGCTCCCAGCTGCTCTCAGTGCTCTCCACTGTCTGTGGGGAAAGGAGCTGAACCCAGAGGCAGCCATCCTGACGCCAGGAAAGGCCTTCCTTTTAGGAGTGGGAGGCAACTGCTCACCCTCCCATCTCCCTCTGAAGCGGTGGGGCCTGGGCAAACCATGCCTGTCTAAAGGTGAGGACGACCGCATCCCTCCTGACCTCCTCAGTTGTCATGGCCAGAGATGGGGACATGTGACCCAGTGCCCTCATGGAACGTGCCCTTTGCAGAGAGAAGCTAGTTACCACGTTGCCCAAATTGATGAGAGACCACGGTTGGGAGACAGAATGGAGGCTGGGGAAGCCCAGACCCAGGGAGCAGGCATCCTGCTCTTCTGGCAGATTTGGCAAATCCAACTGTCTTCCTGTTATCATGGAAGGGAAGTCAGGTGAAGGAAAGATCTAGAAACCTGGCTGGAGTAGTCCGAAAGTCAGCTCAGGAAACAGCTGAATTTATATGTTTTTCATATATGAATGTCATAAGATAATTCTTAATAACAACCTTTTTTGGAGATTAAGATTGCTTCCCTGGGCTAGGCCAGTGGAAGTTTTCAGAAGTCTTGAGCTTGGAGCAGCCGTGCTGACAGCTGAAGGCTGAGGGTGGCCCCAGATCACAGAATTTGCACGAGCTTTACTCTGTCCTTGGGTGGAGACGGTGGAAGGAAAGCCTCGCCCTCCCTCTTGGAAGACAGCAGGTCCCCATGGGCCCATGCCATGGATTTATTCGATTAATTTTCCCTGAGTGTTACTAGGCTGTAAGGTGAGATAAGCTGGCCCACCAGATAAAAACTTGTGGCACCCTCCCTCCGAGATGCTGTGGGCCTGTACTTCCCACTCTACAGCGCCCAAGAGGGAGCAGTGGACCCCAAGGCCAGTTCCATGCAGGCCTCTCTCAGAAAGCCCCAGGCTGTAGGGCCAGGCCCCTGCACCTGCTGGGCCCCAGGAGTGGCTCCGGGTGTCAGGCAGGTGAGGGATCAGGACGCACAGGGGGACGAGGACATCAGGAGAAGTGGGGTGGGGCTCTCGCAGTCTCAGCCAGAAAGAGCTGGGTCCTTCCAACATTTTTTTCCCCTTTTGTGGATTTGAGATTTTACAAAACTACCAAACCAAACAAAAGTCATCAAAGAGAGACCTGGCCCCCATATTGCGGGGTGGTCCGTGAAGGGCTTCGTTTGGAATCATCTTAATCTTTTTGGTTTGGCAAGAATTGGCTTCTCCCACGCAGCAGCTGTGCAGGCCCAGCCCTGGGAAGGCCCCTCGTTGATTTTCCTTTAACCTTCTGGTAGCTGCTGGCTCTCTCTCCAAAGCTTCAGCGAAATAGGGGCACCCACTCTTGTCCCCTCTGGAAAGGCTTCCCTGGGTCCCAGCATGCGTCTTTGCACCTCACCAATCTGTGGTTAGCGCCTGCCTCCTCCCTCCCTCCCGCCACACTCAGCCCTCGCTCTGTCTGCCTCTGCTGCCGCCTCTTTCGGGCTGGGTTTCAGTCTGCTTCAAGGTACCCTGGCCTCTGCGGAAGGCCCATCTGGCACTGGCCTCCTGTGTTCCACACTGGGGCTCCTCACCCAAGGCCAGGGTCGGCCCCCAGGGGCCTCTGCCTCTGGCAGTCTGGGGCACCAGGTGACCTGGGGAGGCAGTTGGGTTGGTGACCACTGCCCATATTCCAACAGGAGTGGGCCTGGGGCTCTGATTTCCCCTGGCACAGGTAGGAAACATGGGAAGGGTGGGTGGGCACAGGAGCTGCAGAGAGAGCAGGGCGAGAGGCTGACTGCCTGGGATGAGGGTCCCTGGGAGGGGAGCAGGGCTGGGAAGGGAGCGCAGGTGTCTAGGGCTGGGTCGATAAACGTTGCTGCGGCTCGAGGGCTTCACTCAGGGTCAGCTCTGTGCCTGCCCCCTGGGCTGGCAAAACCACGCCACTCCCTTGAGTCCCACATGGTGCTCTTGGTGGGCTGGGGCCCCTCTCTCTTGGTATTTGCAGCATGGCTGTGGATGGCGTTTCTCGGCCTGAGATCCCGAGAGCCACTCTCTGTGCGTTGGGTGTGTCTGCGGCAGGTAGGGACAGGCCTGGGCTATGTTCTGGCTCCCAACATGTCAGGTTATTTCTGGCACCTGAAGGGCAGGTGGGGGGCATGGCCTGCCCAGGCCTGTTGCCTGGGAGGGTGTCTCCACTGGGCAGAGACGCCAGGCTCCAAGATGCCAGGCACCAGCGCTCTGCCCCATCGCCTCACACTTCGGGTGCATTGGTTGGCATGGTCTCTTCACAGAGTGGGGGGGCACCTTCCAGGCCCAGCTCACAGCTCTCTTGAGGCTGGTGCTGCCACTGGGGCAGTGGATTCCGGGTCCCAGAGGTCCCTTCTGGCTGAACAAGTCTATCACCAAGCCAGGCAGACTGGGATGGGCAGTGGGGAGAGGAGAGCACCCGACACTAGAGCCACAGCCAGATCCACATGTCTCACTGGTGGCCTGGGGCCTGGGTCAGTGCCATGAGGATGCTCACAGGGTGCAGTAGAGATCGGGGATCATTTGGTGTCAGACCCCAGGAGTCCTTTTCATTGTATAACCTCCACCTGGATGTCCCTCAAGGCCCCACCCTCAGCAGTCCCCACCTTTGGGGCACAATCTGGGCTGCATCTTGCCCATCTGTTTGAAAGCAGCAGCAGTCTGTGGTGCTGCAATGTCTGGGTCCCCCCAGCTCCCAGCATGAGGACAATCTGAAAAAGCATGAAACAGTCAATCTGCTGAATTAATCAGCTGTGGAACTAGGCAGGTGCCCAGGTGAATTGCCCACTCAGAGTGGGTGGGGAAGCGCCCATGGAAGCCAACCCTGGCCCTAGAAGTAGGCGGTGGAGCTTGGTGTTCACACAGTTGAGCTGGAGAGGAGTCCCGCGCAGGCCCTCGCTGCCAGGCCCTGGCCACTTCCTTAATCTCTGTGCCTCAGGCTCTTCCTTCCTCTGTGCGATGGGGTATAAGTACCACATTTCATCGTTCTAGTGTGCTGAGGCCCTGGGTGGATTTTGTGCATCTCCAAGAAAGAAGGGTGCCGCTGGTTGAGTTGAGATGGCTGTTTATTAGGACGTGCCCTGGCGAGGAGATGGGGGTGCGCTGCCTCCCAGGAGACAGAAGAACAAAAGGCCCTGTGTGCTCACCACGGTGCTTGGCCCCTCGGGAACCTCTACAGATGCCGGCTGCTGTGATTTCTGCCATGATGCTTCATAATGGGATGATCTGAGCCTGGGGCTGTGAGGGACTTGGGCCTCCTCGAGCCCAGCCCCTGTCTGATTTGTGAGGCACTCGCGTCTGTGCTGTGCTGCTGGTGCCTGAGCCCACGGATGGCAACATGGCAGAAGGCGTCCCCTCAGAGTCAGTTCCACACGGCATTTGTTCAGCAGGGAGGCCCTGTGGAGACAGCCAGGAAGGGGCCTGCCTGCTGCAGTCTCACCGTGTGACGTGGGACGGGCCTGGCCCCTGCCTCAGTTTACCTGTCTGTGCACGGCCTCAGACCCCTTTGGACCTGGCCTTTCAGGGCAGTGGAGGAGGGTGAGGAGGGGGTCAGGTGAGACCCTGAGAGCTAAGAGTGGGGAGGGTGTGGCCCCTTCCCTCACTCAGGTGCAGAAGGCTCCTCCCTCTGGGTGGGGTCCTGGGGAGCTCAGAGGTTTGTGGGTCACCTTTGTGGTACCGTGAGTGGCACATGTGGATGGCCCCAGAGCCCAGGGCTCTGCTCACTGCCAGCAGCCCCTGCGGAATTGCCCTAAGCTTCTGGGAAGGCAGCTCTGGTGAGGGGTCTTTGGGGTAGGAGAGGTAGTGTCTGACCCTGTCTGGGTGGCCCTGGACAGCTATAGCCTCTCCTTCCTGTGAGGCTGTGCCAGTGGATTCAGTGCCTGAGTGTCCTCACCTGGCCCACAGTGGGAGTGGTCCCGGGTCCCGCCCACTCTCTGAGGGCTGCCCTATGGGCTCCCTGCAGAGTAGGGTGGGGGTGGGGCAGTCTCTTCATCCTCAGTGCCCTTCTGCCCTCCAACCCTGGGATTTTTGCAGTGGGCACTGGCTCTGGGAAAGGGTGGGGTGGGTAGGGACTGGAGGGCAGGGGCTGGCTCAGAGCCTGGCAGCGTAGGCCGTCCCGCCTGGTCTCCTTACGTCTCGCCCAGTATGGTGCGACAGCCACTGGGAAGAGCCCGTGCTGTCTGGTGGCCCAAGTCCTGGCTCTCGCCAGCCCCACTCCTGGACATCTTAGCTTTGCTCAGTTTGTAGCAGCCCCTTTTCCCACCCCCACTGTCAAGCAGAGACCCTCGTCCGGGAGCCCGGGGTGCCCTGGGGAGGGAAGGCATTGCCGTCCCCCTCCCAAGGGGGTACTGGTGACTCCCTGCCTGTAGGGCACCCAGCAGGACTGTGGGGAGGGGCCCCCACCCTGTGGGCCTCAACGTCCTCTCGTGACTAGGGCCAGGCTGAGTTTCCATGGGCGCTTCTGGACATAACCCGGGTGGGTGGCCCAGGGCAGTGGAACCCCAGCCCCAGCACTTAAGTCAGGCAGAGCCACCTGCAGCCCTGTGGGTAACAGGTCCCTCCCTGATGGGCTCCGTGGATGTGGAGCACTCGCTTCTTGGGGGGCATCTTCAGAGGGCGTGTTGTTCTGGGGAGAGGGCCCAAGAAGCCACCAGGGGCTTCCTTTACCCCAGGAGGGAGGACTGAGGAGACTTTCAGGCCCCTGGAGGGCAGCGAGACCCTTTTCCTACTACAAGCCTTGCCTGGGCCATTTTGCAGTGGGGGCAGTGGTCAGGTCTCAGTTTAGCAGAGCCACTCAGAAAGCAAGGGAGGTTCCATGGGGATGTGTAAAGTCAGAATGAACGAGACGGCCAAGGGGAAGGTCCTGACAGTTGCTGGGATGCTGGGGCCTCTGAGGAGGGTTGAGGCAGCCGATGAGATGGAGGGTGGGGCTTCTGCATTGGGAGCAGGAATACCCGGGGCATCCATGGACTCATGGGCCACAAGGCCGAGCTTGACTGTGATGGGGAGGCAGGGCCTGGACCCCCAGGGCCACGTGGGGCATGGATGCCCCTGCAAGGAGCTTGGGTGTCACCAAAGGCATGGGAGGATGTCCGACTGGTGCCTTGAGACCTTTCTGGCTGCTGTGGAGCCATGGCAGGGTGGCTGGTGGTGATGGAACAGTTGAGGGGGGCTTCTTGAAGACTTTTGAGGTGGAACTGATGGATTTGATGAGTAGGAGAGGCCACGGTGCTGCTGGTTTCAACTTGCTGCTGCAGGGAAGTCGGGGGGGCGGTTAGGGGGTGGAGGGAGCAAGGTCAGGAGCCCACCTGAGAGAGGTATTGGACATTCACAGCCCGCTGAGTCTCACTCAACCCCTCATCAGTATCTGCTCTGGAATTGAGGGCCCCAGGCACGGCCCTTTCCCATGCCGGAGGTCACGGTGCTCAGAGCCACACCTGCCTAGAGCAGGAAGCAGGGTATCCTTCCCCATGGCTGGGTGGCATGGGTCTTCCAGGGTCCTCTCTGTCTTCCCAGCTGCCCACATATTGGTCAGCACAGGGAACACAGCAGCTGTCTGGCGACCGTAGTTGCTCGTGGTCTCTGCCTAGGCTGGTCCTGGGAAAGGAGGGGTCTTGGTGCTCTGGGTTGCACCATGGCCCTGGGGGTGTCCTCAGGGCTCCATTCAGCACTTCCCTGGGCCCTAGACTAGGGGTGCCTCATCTTGGCCAACTCACCTCGGAGCTCCCACCTGCTGAGTTTCTGTTCAGGCAAGGGGTTCTGTGGGGTCCGTGAGTGCCAGGGACCCCTGGGAAGTGGGCAGGAGGCAGAGCAATGCTGGCCATCAGTGCCAGTGTGAAAGGGTGGGCAGCACAGCGTGGTCTGGGTCCTGGTCTGGCCCCCGTCCTCCTTGAAGCAGGCTGAAACCGCCCTCCTCGGGTGCTCCCTTCTCAGGCAGCCAGGTCCGGGCCCAACTGGGCTGTGCCTTTGCTCGCCGCGGCTCATTCCTCGTCCTCCTCTCTGTCCCTTCACCTCCTGTCTCCTCCGAGTGCCCACCCTGCCTGTCCCCGCCCGCTCTTGCTGTCCTGGCCCTGGCTGTCCTGTCCGGCGGCTTCCCTCTGCTTTGCAGCTCCGTGTTGTGTCGTGAGCCAGGCCATGCTGCCACCGCTGCCGTCAGAACGCGTGTGGAGGGGTGGCCCATGACCACAGCCTCTACTTCCCCCCAGGGCCTTCGTGTACCTGAGCAACCTGCTGTACCCCGTTCCCCTGGTGCACCGTGTGGCCATCGTCAGCGAGAAGGGCGAGGTGAAGGGCTTCCTCCGTGTGGCCGTCCAGGCCATCTCAGGTGCGTGTGGGTCAAAGGCCGTGTGTGGCGTTGGAGCCTCTGGGGCTGGCTCTCACCTTTGCAGGCAGAGGCAGGGACCTGAGAAGGGCCCTCTGGCCTCATGTAGTGGTCAGTGGGAAGCTGGCCTCAGCTGGCCCTCCCCTCTCCCTGGGGTCAACCTGAAGCTGTTTTTCCACCCTGTCCTTAGCTGGCACCTGGGCCTGCTGCCCCCCAGTGCGCCCTGGAGGGGAAACCCCTGCTGCCCAGCTCTTGGCTCTGGCCTCCTGGACTCCCCGGGGTCAGCTGGGGGTGCCTTGGGGGCCGTGCAGGCTGAGCCCAGTGCCATCTGAGCCTGCTCTGGTTGGGGGTCTCCACCTTCCCATCAGGCAGCCCCAGATGGACCCAAGACCACCTGGATCCGTCCCCCAGCCTGCTGCAGAGCAGGTGCTCTCTGTCAACACATCCCACCTACCTGGCTGTCTCTGCAGCCCCAGGAAAGGCTTGCGAGGCGCCGTCCCTGGCCCCTGGGCCCTGCTCAGGGCAGCCCTCCCTGGGGTGCTTCTGGTTCCCTGATGCACTCCCTGGTCTCTCAGGCACAGGCCTGTCTGCCTTCACACTGGGCCTGAAGATGCAGCCCCTCCCTTGGGGGAGGTGGAGACTGGCACTGCTCGGCCCAGGCCTGGCTGGCTCCTGATGGCGGGAGGCACCAGCGCAGCCCCAGAGTGCCTGTGAGCCTTGGTTTGCTCACATGTAAATGGAATCCGTTGTAATGCTCCACACCTGATAGGAATGTTGAAGGGTACTCGAGAACACAGATGTGAAAGAACTTGGCTGCCTGGGAAGCTGCAGGGCAAGAGGTGGCTTGTGCCATGAGGGAAGGTCCCACTCCCTTCCCAGCCCACCCTGGGCTCCTCCACCGAGGTCTCCCCTCACCAGGGACCACTCTTTTTCCTCTCAAAGGCCTTGGCTGCCTGGGCATCCTGGGGAGGGAGTAGTACAGACAGACAGGCAGGCAGGCAGATGGATGCAGAGAGGACATGCATCCATGGCTGCAGGGGGGCTCCTGGCTACCTGGTTGGGGCTGCTCAGAGGAGTGACTTGGAGCAGGCTGAGATGGCCATACCCCTCCCCAGATGGCAAGTCCCCCAACTATGAGATGGCTCATATTCTCCACCCTGAGATACCTCATATTCCCCGCAAGATGCAAGATGTCTGGTCCTCCCAGCCCTGCTATCCTGGCTGCCTTGGGCGATTGTAATCCCACCTTATTAATGAAGTTAATTTGACTCTGATGTCAAATTCTCCTTAGCCCATAATTTCTTTCTTTTCTTTTTCTTTTTTTCTTTCTTTTTTCTTTTTTTTTTTTTTTTTTTTTTTTTTGACGAAGTCTTGCTCTGTCACCAGGCTGGAGTGCAGTGGCTTGATCTCGGCTCACTGTGCAACCTCTGCCTCCCAGTTCAAGCGATTCTCCTACCTCAGCCTGTTGAGTAGAGTAGCTAGGACTACAGGAGCATACCACCACGCCCAGCTAATTTTTGTGTTTTTAGTAGAGATGGGATTTCACCCTGTTGGCCAGGCTGCTCTCGAACTCCTGACCTCAAGTGATCTGCCCATCTTGGCCTCCCAAAGGGCTGGAATTTCAGGCATGAGCCACCACGCCCGGCCAGCCACCGTGTCCAGCCTAGCCCATGATTTTTAAATGTTGTTTACAGCACCTCCCACTGGCCATGTCTTTGCTTGCCATCCAGTCACTGTGATACCACCGTGCTGAGAAGCTGGGGGCCCAGCTGGGGAGTAAGGGTGAGCACCAGGGAAGGGCCCCAGCCCTGCTGCTGCAAGGTGCGGTGTTTACCGGAGCTGCAACGCTCAGGAAAGCTGGGAACACCTATTACCTCCCTCTCCCCTCCAGGAGGGGCCACCCCCACCTCACCAGGTCCTCCCGATCCTGCCTTGTGCCAGCAGCTCCCACCAAGTGGTCAGGATGGCTGAGCAGAGCCATGCTGACCACTTCCTCCCACTGGCCCCCACCCTGACAGCCACCCCCTGAGAGTGGGGCTGCACCAGAGGCTGTGGGGCCGGTCCATGTCCTTGTGAAGGCAACTGCCGTCCTGGTCTGCCCTGGTCAGAGGGGGCCTCTGGGGTCCACGTGGAGGTTGCCCATTTCCCAGGCCCCGGGTTCAATCTCAGTGCAAAGCTCTACCTCTGTCCTGCACCCTATGGGATTGAGAGGTACCCCCTCCTCTCAGATGAGGATCACCAGTTAGGAAGGTGCACGGCAGCTCTGAGCCCAGGTCTGCGTGCCCAGGTCCACAGCCCCTGCTCTCCCAGGTCATATACTGGGAAACCAGTCTGGGACAGTGCCTGGGAAGTGCTCCTATCCTGGGCTGGGTCACCAGGCCTCCTGCCGGCCATCCTACAACTGGATCATTTTATGTTGGGTGACACCTAATTGTTTCCCTGTCTGATGACTGTGGTGGTGGAGAAGGGAACTTAGAAAAGGCCCCAGCCCTTGCACTGGTGGTCTCAGAAGTCTCACCAGCCCTACCTGTGACCTGGGCAAGGTCGGTTTGCTATTCCCTCAGCACCGACTCCTCCATGAGCAGGCGCTGGCTGTCGCAGACCATGGCAGGATAGAGCCCAGGGCTTCGGGCAGCGGGTCCACTGAGAGCTCTGAAGGCTGGGGAGTGTGGGCGGATGCACCGGCAGGCCTGGGGAGTTGCGTGAAGGGGCGGTTGGTGGCCCTCGAATGTCTAGACAGGTGATAGGTGGTAGCTTCACCCACATGGTGGCAGAGGCACGTCGTGATTCTGGAGGTGGAACCAGCGGGGCTGGCGGGGTGGTCTCTGCGCATGGGGATGGGGAGGGGCCACCCGGGTTCTGCTTGAGCGCCTGGGAATTCGGGCAAGATTTGGTTTTGAAAATATAGACTTTGTGACCCCTATCAAAGTGGTCTGTGATGAGGCCATGGCTGCTTTGGGACTCCTGGGCAGTACAGGCGGGTGGTCAGTGTGCCGGGACATGCCCTGGTTGTCACTGAGCCACGGGTGGCAGCTTCGGTCAGGGGCCTGCTGCCCGCTCTTGCTCCTGTGCCCTCACTTTGACTGCGGGGTGGCCCAGCCTTGCTCTGCCCACACCCACCTCAGGGGACAAGCTGGGCTCCAACCATTTGCTCCATTTCTCCTGCAGCCGATGAAGAGGCCCCCGATTATGGCTCTGGCGTCCGCCAGTCGGGAACTGCTAAAATCTCCTTTGACGACCAGCATTTTGAAAAGGTACCAAGCTCCCTCCCAAGTCCCAGACCTGGAGGTGCCTGGCGCTCACTGGAGTCCTGTGCACTTTGCTCCTCTAACGCCCCTGTCTCATCCCACGGGCCTTAAGTCCTCTTGGGGTTCTTCCCTCTGGTCCAGAGCACGGAGCCTGCCCTGTCTCTAAGCACACCACGCCCCTTTTCCCGGGTTTGCCCTGACCCCTGGATCCGCCCATCTCCCACCAAGACCGCTCCAGGGTCCAAGCCGGGTGCAGAGCGGGTAGACAACACTAGCCTCCAGAGCAGACACTGAGGTGCAGCCATCCCCACCCTGTCTCCCTTCTCTGGAGCAGTTCTCCTCTGGGTCCCCACAGGACAGCGCATCCCACTGCCCCCTTCGCCTGCTCCCTGCCTGCCACCCAGTGAGAATGAGGGGCCCCCTGAGGCTGCCTACCTGCGGTCCTCATGTGAAGGGCCAGCGCTGTGTCCAGTGGCACCTGGACCACTCAGTCTCCTCTTCCGCTCTTGAGAGAGAGAGAGAGGTGGAGGAAGGTCCCCAAAGTGCACCCCAGGCCATGCTCAGGTGGCTCCTGCCCCCAGATTCTTAGACTCGCTTCTCAACCCGTGCCCACCTGGCCATGCCGTCACCCGGAACCTGGGTGACCTACTCCCTGAGCGAGGTGGTCTGTCTGCCCAACACCTTTTCTCTTAGAGGGGCTGTCGGTGTTGGGGGTGCCCAAGAAGGGGAGGGGAGAGAGCTAACCTGCTGGGCAAGGGGCCCTGGCAGGCGGGGGTCCGGCTGAACTGAAGACCAGAGAGGCGGGTGGTAAGTTGTTTCCAGGACAGCTCAGACTTCACATAGTCGTAGGCTATAGAATCCAAAGACACACATCCACAGCAGGGGAAACTGAGGCCTGGGGAGGTGGGTGACCCCCACAAGGCAGGGGCAGGTCTGGTGCATGGGTTCATGGAGGCCCCAGCCCAGGCTCTGGGTGGCACAGCCCTCCGGTGGGCCTGTGACAGGGTCTGCGGTGCCCCTCCCCAGCCAGCTTCTGGCTCTCTTTGACCCTGGTCCCCCTCTGATCAGTTCCAGTCTGAGTCTTGCCCCGTGGTGGGGATGTCCCGCTCGGGAACCTCCCAGGAAGAGCTTCGCATCGTGGAGGGCCAGGGCCAGGGCGCAGACGTGGGGCCCTCAGCCGACGAAGTCAACAACAACACCTGTTCAGGTGGGTTCCCCACCCAGCTGCCCAGGGTGTGGGGCATGCTGAGACCTGGTTCCTGAGCCCGGCCCAGGCCTGTGGCTGGAAGACAATATGGTCTGGAGGTCCATGACTCTCCTTGACTCCCAGCAGCGGTGCCCCCAGAAGGCCTCCTCCTAGACAGCTCTGAGAAAGCCGCCCTGGACGGGCCCCTGGACACTGCCCTGGACCACCTCCGCCTGGGCAGTACCTTCACCTTCCGTGTGACAGTCCTGCAGGCGTCCAGCATCTCTGCCGAATACGCTGACATCTTCTGCCAGTTCAAGTGAGCCCCTGCTGCCTTTGTGTCCCCGCCCTGCCTGGGCACCGAGCAGGGTGCAGGCCATGTTGGTGCCATGTCAGCCCAGCCCCGGCGCCCTGAATGCCACAGCGCCCTCATGTGAAGTGATTCCACCTGGTAAGGTCTTGTCCCAAGTCCCACACCCCATACCAAAGCACCTCTTCTGCTTTGCAGCTTCATCCACCGCCACGATGAGGCCTTCTCCACGGAGCCCCTGAAGAACACAGGCAGAGGCCCCCCACTCGGCTTCTACCATGTCCAGAACGTACGTCCCTGGGTGCTTCTCCCCATCCCTGCCACCGACCAACCCTCCCAGGGCCTCTCTGAGCATGGCTCATTCTCCCTCTTCTGAACACCAGTTGTGGGCCAGGGCTGCCCTGAGCACCAGGAACTCCAGTGCCCGGCAGGGTGTAGGAGTGATTTCTGGGCAGTGGGAGACCCTTGATGGGTTTACAACTGGGAGATGGGGGCTGCTCAGAGCCCCTGAGAGCTGCCCATGGTGAGCATAGAGCCGATGGGGAGCCGGATGCAGGTGCAGTGGGGCCTGGGGTTTGTACTGAGGGCTGCGGGTGCTCAGTGAGGGCAGCCCTGGCTTGAGTGTTGGGAATGGGAAGGAGGCAGGGTCACAGGGGCTGCAGGGTGCCGGCAATGTCCTGAGAGGTCTGGAAAACTCCAGGCAGGAGGGTGATGGCAGCTGGGCTGCTAGGGTCATGGAGAGGAGGGGCCTTTAGGGCAGAGCAGCTCCTCCTGGAGGCGGGAGAACTGGGCTCCTGGGGCAGCAGGGGAAAGAGGTGCCTAACAGTGATAAGGAAAGCTACCAGGGAGCCAGGCTTTGAGTGCCAGGCTGCGGGTGTAGATTTGGCAGGGCTGATAACCTGGAGACTCGGTGGGTTAGTTGCCTGAGACTTCTGTCACAAAGCACCATAGACGGGGGCATCTCAAACAACAGAAATGTGGCCTCCCACGGCTCTGGAGGCTGGAAGCTCAGGATGAGGGTGTGGGCAGGGTCGCCTCCTTCTTAGGCCTCTATCCTTGGCTTATAGAACAGCTGCCTCTTCCTTGTATCTGTCCGCGTGGCCCTCCCCCTCTGCGGGGGTCTGGGTCCAAACTTTCCCTTTTCATAGGGACAGCAGCCATGCTGGATTGGGACCCACTGTGATGACCTCTCTTTAGCTCCATTATCTCTGTAAAGGCCCTATCTCAGGACACACTCTCATTCTGAAGTCCTGGGGTTAGGACTTCAACATATGAATTTGGTGAGGGGGACACGGTCCAACCCGTAACTCTTGCTGAGTGGGGCAGGGCCCAAGAAGGGGCGCTCTGCAGAGACCAGCACTGCCCTCTGTCACCTTTCCCAGCTCTGTGTTCTGAAAGGGCAGCTGACCACGTGGCCCCCGTTCATCCTGGGGAGAGAGGCCGAGGGACACACTCCAGAGTCCGTCTGGGGCATGTGGTGGGAGGAGGGGCTGGGCTGAAGGGCCTAGAGGAGGCTGCTGCCCCTGGGTAGAGGTGGGCCCAGCTAGGGGTCCCAGATCTGGGCCTGAAGCACTTAGCTCACTGATGTGACTCTCCTTCCCCCTTGAATGTGGCCTGGCCGTGACCTCCTGTCCTCCCACCTGCCTGCCCACCAGATCGCAGTGGAGGTGACCAAGTCCTTCATTGAGTACATCAAGAGCCAGCCCATTGTGTTCGAGGTTTTCGGCCACTACCAGCAGCACCCGTTCCCGCCCCTCTGCAAGGACGTGCTCAGGTCAGTGCCCTGGATCGGGGGTTCGGGGTTGCAGTCCTCAAAGCCCCTGCCCAGATCTTTTCATCCAGCTGTCTTGAAGCTGCAGAGCCTATGCACCCCCTGAAACCCACCTCCCCTGCCAATCCAGGAGGCCTTTTGCCCAGGGCTGGCAGGACTCAGAGAGCGATTAAGAGCTCTGGGCCTTCCCACAGCTTCTCTCCTTCAGGACTGCAGAGCGTTCCTTGTGAGCATTGCTTGACCTCCTGCTGGCCTGGGCAGTGTGCAGGGGCTGCCAGCTGTAGGATGCTGGGGTGGCCCCGGGGAGACCACTTCTGCTGCTGACCAAGGACCCCAGGAAAGGGGCCCAGCTGTGCCACACCCTGAGGAAGCCCGGCCTAGCTCCCTCAGTCCATGCAGCCTCCTGAGACCTGGAAAATGGGGGCTCAGAGAGACTCGTGGGGCTGGGACGTGAAGTCAGGACTTCCACTCAGGCCATCTCACCCAAACCCTTGAAGGTGGATAGGAGTGTCTACCCTGGGCCAAGCCGGCGCCTCCTGGGCACCTCGAGTGCAGAGAGAACAGCAGAGGCCTTGGGTGGGCCCTTGTCTTCCCACCTCCAACTCCCCTCAGCTGTCAGGCAGGACTGGGAGCTCAGGGGCCCTCCAGGGTGTCAGGGAAAGAGAAGGGCAATGAAGGCTTTGTTTTGGGGCTGCTTGTCTGTCCTTGGGAGTGCCTGAGGGACTCTGGACTGGAAGCCAGAGCTTGAACCTTGCCCTGGTTTCCTGTGGCCTCTGGGGTGGAATCTGGGGTCCCAAAGGTCCCTCCTCTTCCTCCCACCCAAGCTGGTGGACAGTCTTGGAGAAGAGAGGGCGGGAGGGGGCAGGGATGGGCACCTGGGGCCAGTAGCCCTCTATCTCCTTCTGACCCCTCCCACCCAGGGTCCCACAAACACCTCACACTGGTGTTTCTTTCTCCACAGCCCCCTGAGGCCCTCGCGCCGCCACTTCCCTCGGGTCATGCCACTGTCCAAGCCAGGTAGGAAGGGTCTCTGGAGCCATCTCAGGGCAATGGGCTCCCCTCACTGTGGGTGCTGTCGTGGGCTGGGCCCCCGCAGTGGATGCTGTCCTCTGTGACGGGGCTGTGCCCTCCCAGGCACTCTGGGGCCACCCTGAGCCTGTCAGGCCTCATGGGGTCCCCATGGAGCAAGGGTCTGCCCTGTGCCCAGAGAGTAGCCTGGAGCTGGTGGCAGAGGTGTGGGGAGCCGAGGAAGGAAGACAGCAAGGGGGCTGGGGGCTTTGACGGGACTTCAGGCATCTCAGCAGAACACAGAAAGGTAGAGATTTGGGGGTGAAGGGCAGTCTAGGAAGCTCCTTCATGGGGGTCGAAGGCTGGAGGTGGGAGTGAGAGCGTGGGGCCAGTCAGGGAGGAGTATTTGTCAGAGCTTTTGCCCGGAGCCTGGAGCCTCTGCCTGTGGGAACAGGTGGGTCGTGGAATAGCACTTGAGATTCATTGGCTTTTAGTTAAAAGAGTGGAGTTTATTCCCTGCAAGACCAAAACCCAAGGACATGGTTGGGGGAGAGCTAAAGGCAGCCAGACTGAGGCCCGGCAGGTGTGGCTGAGTCCCTCACAGCCCAGAACCCTTCTGAAGGAGGGAGTGTGGTCCCAGGCACCAGCGCCCCAGAGGGTAGGGGCCTGTGTGAGAAGCTGCCTCTGCAGCTGGTGGGTGGAGGCACTGGGTCTGCACACGTGGTGACTAGGTGTCAGCCTCTTGTGCCTGCCTTGCAAGGACCCTGTCCTTTGAACCCCTGTAAGATGAAGGTTTGCAGGCTGAGGACACTGTGGGAGGACACCCTCCAGCTGCTGCAGAGCCAGTCCCTGGTCTGTACAGGTTTTGTGGCCCGCAGTATGGGTTCCCTGAGATTCAGTCTTCCCCACAGCCTGCAAGAAAGACCTGTAGATCCATATTTGTAGGGGAGGTGGAGGAGGCTCAGATGGGACTTGCTAGAGGAGGACCTGTGTAATGTGTCTCAGAGAAGGGAGTGGTGGACAGAGGTGGGTGAAGGATGTGAGGACAGAGGCTGTTTGTCAGGAGCTGGACACGAGTGGAGGGCCAGTGGGAGCTGAGGGACAGGGCCTCTTGGGCCAGGCCTGGGTGCTGGTGAGATGTGCTTGGACTGGTGCAGTAGGCTGTAGCCAAGGTGTGGTGTAGGCGATGGGCCTGGCAGCATGGCAGAGGGGCCCCGTGAGGGTTGTGGGGCTTTTGAACAAGTGTATCTGTGGCTGCCCTGTTGGTTCTTGGGGTCTTGACCACTGTTCTCCTCATGAGCTGTGCCCAGTGTGCATGGCCACGTAGCTTTCCTAGCCGGGGCACAGAGAACGTGAGCGTCCGTGTGACGTGCTGAGGCCAGAGTGCCCAGGACCCCGTGTATCTTGGGAATGGCTGGGGTTGGCTGGTTGTTTCCCTTGAGGAGGGGGAGGTGCCCTCACTGCCTCTGAGCCCCCTTGGCCCTGGCACCTCCTCCTTGAGTGTGCCCTTAGCACGTGATGGGTCAGGTCTCCCATCCATGCATGCCGCCTTCCTGTCCCTACAGTACCCGCCACCAAGCTCAGCACACTGACGCGGCCCTGTCCGGGGCCCTGCCACTGCAAGTACGACCTGCTGGTCTACTTCGAGATCTGTGAGCTGGAGGCCAATGGCGAGTGAGTGCTGGTGCTGGGACCCCCAGGGTGTGAGTGTGGGGGGGATGGGGCGGAGAGGGACGAGGACCTGAGCTGCCTGAGGGATGCCAGCATCCAGTCATCCTTCCAGCAGGTGTTCACTGCAGACCTCTTGTGGGCCCAGCCTCATCTTGGTCCTGGGGAGTAAAAGCAGACAAAGCTCCCCGCTGTCCTGGAGGAACTGGCATGGGGGGCAGGGAGGTGCTGGACAGATAAGCACCTGAATTGGTGGCCCCATGGTCCTGAGCACTAGGACAGCAAACCAGGACATGGGTCGGGGACGGGGCGGCAGAAGACACTTACAAAGTGATCAAGGGAATTTTGAGCAAAGACCTGAAGGAGGTGGGAGGGGAGCCCTGAGGCCCTGGGGAGGCAGGTTCCTGGGCCCCAGTGCTGAGGCCAGTGGGGATCTGCCTGGTGCCCTGGGGGCAGCTGGGAGCTGGGCTGTAGCTGGCAGCTCAGGGTGGGGCCTGGTGGAGACTCAGGTCCTTGCTCAGAGTGGGACAGGAGCCTTAGAGGTTGGAGCAGATGAGCCCATCTGCTAGGATTTCCTCTGGATCCTCTGGTCTTGGGTTGCGGATCTGCAGGGCACCAGGGAAAGCAGAGGACGCTTGGGAACTTACAAAGATCCAGCCCAGAGGGACCAGGCCGTGCCATACTGTGTCTCCCTGTTGGACACCCTGCCAGTCCAGTGGGCAGGGCTGGGAGGCAATAGCCAGGGAGGCCTGGTGGGTTTCTGTGCTCAGCTGACCCTGGTCTCCATGGATCAGGCCGCCTGATCTTCACCAGAGGGAGCTGCTGATTTTTCCCTGTTTTTGCTCCCATTCACTGTGTCCTGTGCTGCAGGGAGGGCAGGGAGGAGGGGCCGGCCGCTCCTCACATGTGTCTCTCTCTTCCAGTTACATCCCAGCCGTGGTGGACCACCGTGGGGGCATGCCATGCATGGGGACCTTCCTCCTCCACCAGGTGTGAGCCCCTCCCAGCCCTACCCTGCCTGTGTCCCCTCCCCAACCTCCACCAGGTGTGAACCTCTCCCTGCCCCTACCCTGCCTGTGTCCCCCTCCCTGACCCCAAGTGGCCCCCTGAGCCGTCTGATCATATCCTCTCACCTGGCACCGGCAGGGCATCCAGCGACGGATAACAGTGACACTGCTGCACGAGACAGGCAGCCATATCCGCTGGAAGGAAGTGCGCGAGCTGGTCGTGGGTGAGCACAGTGTGGGGGCTGCCTTGGGGGGTGGGGCCGAGCTGGTGGGAAGAGTACAGACCCTGAGCTGGATGCCCGGGTTCTAATCACACTTCTGCGTCTGTTGCTGCGTGACCCTGGCCAAGTCACATAACCTCTCTGTGGGTCACCTCCTCGCCTGAAAAGGAGAGCCTTGGACCTGGGTGGTGATCTGCAAATTTCTATTTAATCAGTGTATTGGACTTCTGGGGCTGCCGTGACAACATGCCACAAACCAGGTAGCTTCAGACAGCAGACATTTATCATCTCACACTTCTGGAGGCCCGAAGTCCAAAATCAAGGTTCCGGCAAGAGACACTCTCTCTGAAACCTGCTGGGGAAAATCCTTCCCTGCCTCTTCCAGCTCCTGGTGGTGGCCAGCATCTTGGGTGACCCTGGCCTGCAGACGCATCACTGCATTTTCACAGGCTTCTGCTGTCCTGTGTCTTGCTGTAGCCCTTTCTCCTAAGGACATCTGGCGGGTCGGATTAGAGGCCCATCCTGCTCCAGGGTTGACCATATCTTTACTCAGCTTGATCACCTCTGCAAAGCCCTACTTCCAAATAAGGTCCCATTTGGACGTCCTGGAGGGCAGGACTTCCACGTATATTTTTCGGGGTCACAATTCTGCCCATAACCATCACCAAAGATCTTGGACACTCTTTCTTCCATGACCTCATGTTTTGAACTCGGGTCCACCAAATGTTTCCTTTGCTAAGGTGGAAAGAATTTGTCTTCTCAGTTTTCATTCAAGGAGGCAGACAGTCATCCATTCAGTGTGTCACTAGCATGAGGCCAGCCCAGCCCTGCCTTGCCCGACATTGCCATGGCCGGGCTCGGTGACCGCTCAAGGTGACTTCCCTGGGGCTGGACTCGTCACCCTGTGTCCCAGTGCAGGACTGTAAACAGGAAGTTCCAGGCACACCAGGATACATGCTTATGTTTTACAAGTTTTGTGTCTAATTTCACATGAATCAGAAAGTCATGGAACAAGCACCCGAACCCTCCTTTCAGAGGTTGTTTAGGGCAAGCCTAAAAGAGTGAATTGATTTACAGGCAGAATGTTAGCAAATACACAGCTTATGGACCCGGCCACATGGTAGGTGAGGAACGATCCCTGGGGCACCACTGCCCCATATTCTGAGTCCTGGTCTCACTTCCCTCAAGGCAGACAGGAGAGAAGGAAGCGGGGAAGCTGGATCTGCATGGTTGAAAGGACGCATCCCCTGGGCCTCAGCCCGTTGCCCCTCAGACCCTGCCTGCTCAGATCCCACATTCTTTTCCCCACCTCCTTTCTAAAAATGCCAACAGGAGTGTCTGTTTATGTGGGGTGGGGGGAATCAGGGATGCTATTTAAGGGGATATGGGGAGATATGGTATGGACCCCAGTGCCCCCCTTCAGGCTAAGGGGTTTGGGCTCAGCCTCTCTGGGCTTCATAACTGAGCAGCCCTGTGATTGGACTCAGGGCAAAGAGCAGCCAAGTCACTTTCTGGGGAGTACCTAGCCTCTCTCCTGCTCCTCACCTGGGACCTGATCTCACTGTTCACAGCCTTCTCCGAGCTCAGCATCCCTCCCAAGAGGGCCATGGGACTTTCCAGCCCTGTGAGTTGGACAAGACTGTGGGCACAGGGTCAGTGAAAGGGATGAAAGTCAAGGAGAGACCCCAGGTGTCCATGAGCAGTGAGTGGGTGCACCCTTGGAGGCAGGGGAGGGAGTCGAGGTGCGGACAACAGAGGCTCAGGACCCCAGCCCAACCCCTGGCACTCTGCCCAGACCAGCGGGCTCATGGGTGTCAGTTTTGTGGGCCAGGTACTTGGTCAGACTCAGAGCAGGCTGAACACCGCTCAAGTGCAGGCCCCGAGGGCTGGGAGTGGCTGCACTGCCCTCCCCGAGGGCTGGGAGTGGCTCTGCCCAGGCAGCAGTCCCTGCAGCTGAGCTGCTTCTCTGCCATGGGTGCTGCCCCGCATGGACCCAGAGGGCCCTGGCATAGGGAAGGGCACTTTGCTGGGATCCACCTGCCTCCTCCCAGGACCAAGGTGCTGCAAGGTCATGGGTCGGAGTTCCAGCAATGGGCTGAGGCAGGCCCAGTGTGCACCTGTCAACACAAAATCCTAGCATGTCCTGGGTTTTGTCTTGTCCATGCGTGGTGGAGGAGAGGGAAGCCTGTCGTTCCTTCCTGATGCAACAAAGAAAATGTGCACATGTTTGTTTACTCCTTTGAATGAGCAGAACTGTCACTGTCTGGCCAAGAAATTACTAGGTGAAGCCACTAGGCAGTTTTCCTGCCTGATAACAGCTCTGGTGTCTTTCACAGAGACAGACAGACACCCCAGTGCATACATCTTAGCGGGCTCTCCTGGAAATGCCCCTTGTAAGAAGAGGTTATATGGCACAGATAGTGTCCTCTCCTCTCCCCTCCCATCCCTCCCCTCTTCTGCTCTCCTTTCCCTGCCTCCCTCCTTCCCTCCCTCCCTCCCTTTCCTTGTTATTATCATTATTTTTAGGTGTAAGAAGAAGCAGGAACATTCCTCCTCTGTGTCTTGCTTAGCCTTCCTTTTCCAGCAGTCGGGAAGGCCTATGGTTTCCAGGCTAAGCACCTGCATTTGTCAGTGTGTGTACGGGGGTGTTCACTGTGGCCGAGAGACAGACAAGAAAGACCGTGGAGCAGTAACTGCACATGGCCCCTGGGTCGCCGAGGACCCTGCAGGGCCTCCCTGTTCCCCCTGGCACTGCCTCTGACCAATGCTTTAGTGACCACGTGAGGAGCTGGCTTGCTGACAGCACCCTCACCTGAGGCAGCCAGCAGGGCCCAGGGTCCCACCTGCCCCCTGGGAAGTGACCCGTGCCCCGTTGCCTTTTCTGCAGGCCGCATCCGAAACACTCCAGAGACTGACGAGTCCCTGATCGACCCCAACATCTTGTCTCTCAATATCCTCTCTTCCGGATACATTCACCCAGCCCAAGATGACCGGTGAGTCGGAGACTCCCTGGAGACAGGGCCCAGGGCATGTTCCCAGCCTGCGAGGCCCTTGGCCAACCCGGCACAGGGTCCAGCCACACAGCGTGACCCGCTCAACGCTCTCCTGTCCCTCCCTCCTGGCACCTGCAGGAGCTGCGCAGTGAGGGGCTGGTGGCCTCTGCGCCCCCGACTCCTCGTTTGTGCACCCCGTCGCTGGTTCAGGCATCATCCCCATGCCCGTTTGTTCATCACCAAGCAGAGGGGCCAGCTCAGGGGCTGGAGGATGAGCTGAGTGCTGTCCTCGGGAGTTTCGTTGTTGGGTGGTGTGGGGACAAGTGGCTGTATATCCAAGGACCGTGCTGCTGTGGGCAAGTCAGTGGCCTCTGGCAGGCGTCCTGGGGCTAGGGGTCGAGCAGCTGGGGTGGAGCACCCACAGGCACTGCTTGGCACAGGCCCCTCACCACCAGGCTGCTCCTTTCTACACTCCCTTGCATGGCCAAGACCCCACAATCTGGGCAGTCCCAGTCCGACCTCATTTGGGCTGGGGGTTCAGCGCTCTGGGATGTCTGTGGCAGCTCTATCGGGGTCTGCTGGGGTTAGGGGATGGGAGAAGGAGGCAGCCCCTGCGGTTGGCCTGGGCAGGTGGCTCAGCACTACCAGGCACAGCCCTGGTGGGTGGGGATGTCCCTCGGGCTCCACTGCATCCCAGATGCTGCCTGCCAGGGGCTTGGGGAAAGTGGGGCGGGAGCTCCAGTGTCCAGTCCCGGCTGATCCCTGGGGGCTCGACCTGACTCATGATGCACAAACCCAGAGGGGACCCTCAGAGCTGGAGCCGCGGGTGTCTCCATGGCTGTGTTTGTAGGAAAACATCTTTGAGGGCCTCCCTGCAAGGAGAGTCAAGGTCATAAGGAAAGGAGGGTGCTGGGGGGCATCGTCTCCTATTCTTCTGACTTGGGTCCAGACAGAGCTTGGTTTCATCAGAAACACCCAGAAAGTGAGCTATTGGGGCTTAGCACTGCAGTAAGGAGGGTACTGCAGGGGCAGCCAGGGCAGGGGGCAGCTGGATAGTCAGGGTGGGCATAGCACTGAATAGTAGGGGGTGGGGGTTGGACAGAGACCTGGGCAGGGCGGATGCAGCTCTGGTCCCAGCTCTGCCTGTGGCCTTCCAGAGGGAACTTGCCCTGCACTCATGTCCACAGGAGGGTGGAGAATTCGGGGGTGTTCTATGTGGAGGTGGTGCCATGATGGGGGGAACACGTCTGGGACAGGGGCAGGTGAGACAGACCAGGTGGGATGGGTCGGGGCTTGGGGGCTTCCTCGTGCCTTGCTTCTCCTGCCACCATGAGAACGCTCCCTGGTGAGGCGTGGAGAAGGCCTGGAGCCCCCAGCACGGGCACTGCCTGCAGGGTGTGGGCTGCTGTCCCTGGGCTGTGGGGGACCAGGAACTGGAGTCGGGGGTGGGGCCCAGAAGGGCAGGTCTGCTATGTGAGATGTGCTTTGGATCCTGGGAGATGACCTCATTACCTGATTTTCCTGACCTCTGACCCTCCCTCAGCCCAGGCAGCTCCTGGGGTGGGGTGGGCAGGGCCTCCAGCCCCCCAACCCCACCTGCTATCTCCCTGCACAGAGGGCTGAGTTTCTGAGGTCTTCCTCAGATCAGCTGCCATGGGTGACATAGGAGGGAGCAGCTCATGGCTGGACCTCAGGCCCCTGTTCCTGGAAGCCCGAGAACCTGTCACTGAAGGGGCTTTGGCCACACGCCCGGAGGGCTGTGAGACATGGGGCCGGTCCCACGGTGCCTCTGGGGTTGATGCAGTCCTGTGCTGGGGTCGTGGCCCTGGGTCTGAGAAAGGAGGAAGGCGCGTTGCGTGGGCGTGGCCTCCCCGAAACGGCTTTGGCCCTCGCTTGGCTCCTGCCCATGCTGGCAGCTCCCTCCCCCAGCCCTGCCCTAGAGCAGTCTCGGGACTGTCCTCTGCTGGCACCCCCAGGCAGGCACCATCCTGTGGCTTGGCTGACCAGGCCAGTGGGCCTTCCTGTGCCATGGACGGTGCTGGCGTCCTCAGCCCCGTGCGGGGCCGGGCTGCTCCAAGGCCTCTCTCTGCGATGTGCGGAGGCTCAGGAGCCCCGGCTTCTGGCTCTGGCCTGGGGCCTCGGCCGCCCATGCGCTTTGCCATGGCCTTGCCTCCCACCTGCTCCCAGGCCCTGTGCTTTGCAGCCTCCCCGGCTCAGAGTGGGCCTGTGGCCACAGGCTGCTTCCCTCTGCCTGTCCCCTGCCCTGCTCCCGCTGCGCTGCCCGGCCCTCACTAACCGTGTGATTGTTTGTGTTTTGCAGGCAGTTTCTTGATTCGGACATACCTAGGTATCATCTGTGTCCCTTGGTTTCATTTCAGCCTCTTCTTTCCTCCCTGCTCCTCCCCTGACCGCCCCCCACACCCCTGGGAAGTTAACTTCCGGCTTTCTGGACTCCTCACACACGTGCTCACCTGTCCTCCTGTTCCTCCCGTCTTCTTTCTTTTTATTCTCTTGGAATCTTGGTTTGATTTATTTATTGCTTTCCCACCCCGTCCTCTTGGCTGAGTCCCTTCTTCCCCAACTCCTGATTCTGGCTGCTTTGTAGTTTCCTGCTCCCCAGTAGACACTGGCTGGCCTCCTGCTCCTCCTGCCCCAGCCTTGCCCGCCCCGCACCACACCTAGCCCTGTGGATGGGCGTGGCATCCCGCACGCTGCTGGCTGGCCCGCTGCCCTTGGCTGCACCACCCTGTGAGGACCAGCCCCACTCCCCTCTCCCTGCAAGGGGCCTTAGCAGGCAAAGCCGTGAGCACAGGGGATGGGGAAGGGCAGACAGGAGCCAGCCCAGGAGACCCTCACACTCCGGCACATTCCACAGCCTCTCGTGAGTCCCTCGCCTGGCCAGGCCAGGAGGAGGGACAGCGGCTCCAGCCACGCTCCTCTGGCTGTGGCCACCAAGCATCCTTTTGTGGAAGTGGCGGGTGGTGAATTCATTAAGAGACCAGAGAGTCCCAGACTCAGGTTGTCCAACAGATTCCCTTTTCCCCGGCTGCAGTGAGGCCCCCGCCCATGCCAGCCTGGGGCAGGGAGTCGGCGAGACCCTGGGGATGGAGGGCCTCCAAGTCCCTAATCCAGACACTGGTGAGAACTCGAGTCTGTTCCAAATGGAAGATCAAGGCTGCCTGCTCCTGTGTCCCTGCATGACTGTGGCCAGCGTCACGGCAGTTATCCTGTGGGGTGGTGTCTGTGAAGTGAACTGAGCAGCAGAAGGCCTTTCAGACCAATGTTGGGCCTTTAAGCCCTGCAGTCGGGAGGTGTGAGGCTGCTCCTGGCACAGAGGCCCAGGGCAGTGGGGCTTGGCCAGCACTTTCTGAGGCCACATCCTTGTCAGTTCATGTTGCTATGGGTCAGGACAGATGATTGACAACTGTGACTAAGGGATCGTGGCCAGGAGAAGACTCTGCCCAGGGGTGGCAGGGCCAGAGTCCCCGTTGGCATGGTCCCTTGAGCATGTGCACACACACCTCTTTCCATGAACAGATCTTTTCCGAAGGCTGCTGCACCAGCTCTCCCTGGGGACCTGGGTGCAGCAGAGACCCTGTCAAGCAACCCTGTGATGGTGGCTGCACTGAGGAGGGAGCACAGCCCTGCAGGGCCTGAGCAGGGCCTCCCTCTCCCTGCAGTGAGTCCGGCGGGCTTGCAGGAGGAGGAGACGGCATCTGGCTAGCTGGTCCTGGAGTCAGCTGGCCTGCCTCTGGGAGTTTCCCTATGCTCAGAAAGATCTGGGTTTGGGGAGCCCATCAGCTTGGGCTCTAATTGAGGAGCTGTTTTCTGGGCACGGGGAGGTTTCCGGCCCGTCAGTGTGATCTCATGGCAGGGATTGTATTTTGTTCAAGTTTGAGCTGTGCAGTGTTTAGGTCCCACACCCTCTGCACATTTGAGGGGATGCTCAGGCTGGTCCCAGACACCCCCAGGTATAAATAAACGTTAGCACCGCCAGGAAGGCTCCTGTAACGCAGGCAAACGGTGGCACTGTGGGAGGAGAGGAACTTTCCCTCCCTCGCCAGCCCCTGGGCTTTGGGGGCCCATGTACCTGTACCCGAGTGAGGGGTTGGGCCCTCTTGTGGCTGTTCCCCCATTCCAGAATGAGCTTGCCGGCCCACACCCCATGGGCAGCAGGCTTGGGACTTGGCCTGCGTAGACCTCAAGCTCAGGGCGTGAAGAGGGGAGGAGAGGGTGGTGTCGGAGTCCTGAGAATCAGACTTGAGCGTCCTTCCTGGGGCCTTGTTCTGCCAGGCCTGGTCTGCCAGACCGTGATGGGCAGTGCTGTGGACCAGCAGGTGGTGGGTGTGGTGCAGGATGTCTCATCCCAGACATCTGCAGTGGGCAGGGACCCTGGGGCTTACAGTGGAGGCATTTCCTGACTGTGTGGATGTGGATAAGCAGGGGCTCTGGTAGAGCCTTGTTTCCATCCCCAAGAGTGAGGATGGTGATAGCCCCTGTGCTGAGCTGTGGAGAGAGAGAGGATGCTGGGGAAGCGCTTGGTGAGGGCCGGCACCTGTCACTTTCTGTGTGTGAGTCACACTGTTGGTGTCACCACTGCCTAGCTGGCTGTCACTGTGAAACTCCGTGGTTCCTGAGCAAACGTGTCTCTTATCCCAGTCATTACCATTGTGCTCAGGGGGCCGCACTGGGAAGCTGTGAGTGTCTCTCATACGCATGCGCACACGGAGTGCGGGGTGAAGACGGGGTGTATGTGACGTACTCCTTGTTTGTAGAGAGATTGGCTCCAACCTCCTACCCTGTATTCCTACATCTTACCCAGGGTCGTGTAGGCTGCCTGCCCCAGGGCCACAGGGGTTGACCTGCCTGAAGCAGGAGTCAACAGGGGCCTTCAAAGCCAGGGTGTCTCCCTGAGATGGTGACAAGGAGCCAGGGAGCAGCAGGACCCGTGGCCACCCTGGCCGCCCAGCAGCATGGGGCTCGTTTCTCCAGAGAAACGGTCCAGCTCTGATGTCCTGAGGCTTCTCCAGCCTTGTCGGGAAGGTCCAGTGGCAAGCTCAGTCTCCCCTCTGTCCTTCCCTGCTGTGCCGTTGGTGGGGCTGCAACGTTCACCCACACAGTCATTCATCTTTCACGTGTGCCTCAGCCACTCATGTGAGCCCACATCCTGTGGGATTAAAGGCAAAATCAGGAAAAGTCTGTCCAGGCGGGTCAGAGCCTGGCCAGGAAGCTCATTCACCCTCTCATCCCTCCCTCATCCCCTCATCCCTCCCTCATTCCCCCTCATCTCCTCATCTCTTCCTCATCCCCTCGTCCCCTCATCCCTCATCCCTCCCCCTCATTCCCCTCATCCCTCATCTCCTCTCCCCTCATCCCCTCATCCCCCTCTCCCCCTCCCTCATCTCTCCTCATCCCTCATCCCTCATCCCCTCATCCCTCCCTCATCCCCTTATCCCTTCCTCATGCCCTCATCTCATCCCTTTCTCATAACCTCATCTCTCCCTCATCCATTCCTCATCCCTTACTCTTCCCCATCCCCTCATCCCTCCCTCATCCCTCCGTCATCCCTCCCTCATCCCCTCATCCCTCCCTCATTCCCCCTTATTCCCTCATCTCTCCCTCATTCCTCCCTCATCCCTTCATCCCTCCCTCATCCCCTCATCCCTCCCTCATCCCCTCATCCCTCCCTCATCCCCTCATCTCTCCCTCATTCCTCTCTCATCCCCTCATCCCTCTCTCATCCCCTCATCCCTCCCTTATCCCCTCATCCTCCCTCATCCCTTCCTCATATCCTCATCTCTCCCTCATCCATTCCTCATCCCTTATTCTTCCCCATCCCCTTATCCCTCCCTCATCCCCTCTCATCCCCCATCCCTCCCTCATTCCCCCTTATCCCCTCATCTCTCCCTCATTCCTCCCTCATCCCCTCATCCCTCCCTCATCCCCCCTTATCCCCTCATCTCTCCCTCATCCCTCCCTCATCCCCTCATCCCTCCCTCATCCCCTCATCCCTCCCTCATCCCCTCATCCCTCCCTCATCCCCTCATCCCTCCCTCATTCCCCCTTATCCCCTCATTTCTCCCTCATTCCTCCCTCATCCCATTTCTCCCTCATCCCTTCCTCATACTCTCATCTCCCCCTCATCCATTCCTCATTCCTTATTCTTCCCCATCCCCTTATCCCTCCCTTATTCCTGCTTATCCCCTCATCCCTCCCTCATTTTCCCTCATCCTCTCATCTCTCCCTCATCCATCCCTCATCGCCTCTCATCCCCTTATCCCTCCTTCATCCCCTCATCCCTCCCTCATCCCCTCATTTCACCCTCTCTTCCCTCACCCCCGATCTCCTCATCCCCTTATTAGCTCCTCCGCTCATTTCCTCATCTCCTCCCTCCCTCATTCCCTCATCCTTCCCTGATCTCTCCCTCCTCCCCTTACCCCCTCATCCCTGCATTCCCTAATTCCCTCACCATCTCCTCCCCTTACCCCCAATTCATGCCTCCCTTCATTACCTCCACCCCTTTTCCCTTCATGTTTTCCTCCCCTCACTCCCTCACCCCTTAACCCCCTCATTTCCTCATCCCCTCCTCCCCTCATTCTCTCCTTCCCTGACCCCCTCCTCCCTTCATCTTTCCTCTCCTCATGCTTCATCCCCTCCTCCTTTCATGCCTCATCCCCCCTTCCCTCATACCTCATCTCCTCCACCCCTTATTCTCTCTTCCCTTCATCCTCTCCTGCTCTCCTCCCTCCTCCCCTCCTCCCAAATCCCTCATCCCTCATGCCCTCCTTCCCTTCTTTCATTATCCCTCATTCCCTCCTCTTCTCATACCCTCTCCCTCATTCTCTCCTCCCTCCCTCCCCACTCCCTCCTCCCCTCCTCCCTTCATTCCCTTCTCCCCTCATCCCCTCCTCTCCTAATCTCCCCTCCTGCCCTCATCCCTCCTCCCTCCTCCCCTCCTCCTTTCCTCCCCTTAAGCCTCCTCCCCTCATCCGTCATCCCCTCATCCATTATTCTCTCCTCTCCTCCTCCCCTCCTTCCTCATCTCCTCATCCCCTCCTCCCCTCCTTCCCTCATCCCTTACCCTCCAATCCCCATAGCAGGCACTAACCAAGCAGGCTGTGTCCTGGCCCTGTGGCACAGCAGTGATGGGCACTGCTGGTCCTTGTTCTGGTGTCAGCCAGGGCAAGGGGACTGTGGGGATCTTCCCAGTGGGGAGGGCTCACCAGGAAAGAGTGAGCTTGCCTGAGCTGGGGGCACAAAAGCAGAGGTGGAGGGGAGAGTGGAAGAGGCCGAGCCCCTGACCTGGCACTGCCTCTGAGGCCAGATCTGGTCTAGGATTCTCCTTCTCTGAGGACAGCGACCTCCAGGGCCATGCCGTCCGGTGGAGGTGGTGGGGAGCAGTGACATGCTGGTTGTCTCCCAGCTGGCACGGCTTCAGGGGTGGCACACGGTTGGGGCGCCAGCTCTGGCTGTCAGTGGCTGCAGCCCAGTGCTGCTGGTGGAGCCCGGGGCCAGAGCCGCATCCGATGATGCTCAGAGTCCATGCATTCCTCAACCTGTGGGGACAGGATGCAGCTCTCTCCAGCTGCGCCCCCACCCCCTCCCTGCTTCTGTTGTGCCTGTGCCTGGCATCTGGCATGCCTGGCATGTGGCATGCCCACCATCCCAGCCCCTATGTCTAAGTCCTTGGTGGGCTTTGAAACCCAGCTGCAAGGGACCCTCCTCCAGGCAGGCTTCCTGACTCCACCCACTTCCTTCTGGCCTGCCTAGCTGTAAAATCTCTCTGTCTCTGTGTGGATCTACTGCAGATTTGCCCCCAGGCCAGGTTTCCAACTCTCAAGGGCACCATCAGGCTTCCCAGTTGTACATTTCCCCACAGGACAGAGCCCAGGGGCAGGGCTCAGTCAGGCGAGGAGGGAGCCTGCAACTGCCCTCAGGGGGCTGGGAGAGTGGGGCCAGCATTGACCAGGACTCAGGCTGGAGGTGGAGAGGCTACAGAGCTGGCTTAGGCTGTGGCCCTCAGGGGTGCCTGGCCCAGCCTGCTCCAATTGGCTGGGCCCTGTGCGAATGCTGCTTCCAGCTTTCATCCCAGAGACAGACTTGGGCTGCCTGTGTTCTCTGCTCCATTCTTGGACTGCTTGGTGGGTGGTGCCACATGACTGTGTTGTGTCACGTCCAGATCCTGTGAACCGTATCCCTGAGGTCGGGGTTCAAGCACAATCCCCTGCTTTTAGCTGTGTGTTCACATTGGATCAAGTCTCCTGCTGGGATCACGTTCCCCACGGGTGAGGAGGGTCTGCCCTGGCTGCCATCTGTGGCCTCAGCCTGGTGGATCACCTCCCTGGAGGACCTGGGCCTCCACATCCGGGCTGCATGTTTCCTCTTGTGATGACTCTGAGGGTTTGGCAGCTGTCACGTGGCATAGAGTGAGGGGGGCTGCAGGGGACAGGGCCTGGGGCAACCTCGTGCCCACTCCTGGAGTGGGGGTCCTGGAGTGGTCTCCAAGGCCCTCCCAGCCCACATCCTGCAGTTTTTGCCATGGCAGGGTGATCTTGGCCACCTCTCAGCCTTCCTGCGTCTTGGTTTCCTGCTGTATGATCGCGGGGCACCTGTCAGTGGTTCCCATGCTGTGCCCTGCAAACTTGGGGGGCCCCAGCTGGCAGTGTGGGTCCCATGTGTGTCCTGTGTGGGTGAGCTGCTACTCTGCCAGCCTGCTCCACTCCCATCCACCAGCCGTTGTCCCCTCTAATCTCACTTGGGATCTGGGTAAGACCTGTCCTCCTTCTGTAGAGGCTTGAGGGGAGTAGGGGGAGTAAAGAATGTTGCCAGGGACCCTCCTGGCCTGAGATTCCAGCGTCTGCTGCCCGTGACCTGGTGGAGCCAGGCAGGATGTGGGTCAAGGGCTGGTTGAGAGGCATTTTGGGTGCAGCTCCCCTGGGCAGAGTGGGAGGCCTCTGGGGCTGACCAGCAGTTTGGAAATGACCTAAGGGCAGCACCATGGCTGTGCCCATGTCAGACCCTGGTCCGGCTGGCCATCTTGGCACCTGGGGGATGGGACAGTGGTATGGGAAGACCCCGTCCCTGCTGTGCACACAGTCCTATAAGGCCCCTCCCACCATTCTCTCCCCAGCTCACATGTGAGACTCCACCACAGTCAGGTTCCCAGAGAGATTCTAGTCCACTGGGGTCTGAGCAGGGCAGAGCCACATGCTACCTGGGCTGAGAAATTCTCTGCTAGGACCCCCAGGGGGGTTGTTGTGGGCCTCATGTGGAAGTGGGTTCATGTTCTACTTACAGCCCCAGGCCTGGCTCCAGCAGAGTCCACTTGCTCTAAGGAGCAACCCCTGGCTGAGCGTTGGGGTCCTGCCTGCCTCGCTGGGCTTGTTCCTTTGCTGTGTCCCACTTGGGGGCCAAGGAGCCCCAGGATGGGGCAGGGACATGGTTCCTGATGACTGAGGAGTGCCTGGGCTGGGAGGACCTGGTGCTTTCTGAAGGGTGCACAGAAGGGAGTAGGTGCTGATGCTGGAAAAGACCTGCTGGTTCTGATCCTGGGGCCAAGGGGTGAGGGATGGGTGGGCTGTGTCTGCACACAGACGGAAGAGAAGGAAGGGGAAGAGAAGCAAGCTGAGGCCCTTTAGGGACTTTGGAGGCAGAAGATAGAGGGTCCAGCACGGGACCGAATGCGTGGGCCCAGCAGGAGAGACAGAGCTGGTGGGAACTGCAGGTTGGGCCTTACCCAGTGCATAGAGGTAACGAGGATGATAGCAATGCTAGAATGTACTAGATAGTGACGTATACCAGATAGCGACGCTGACGTATACCAGATAGCGATGCTGACGTGTACCAGATAGCGACGCTGACGTATACCAGATAGCGATGCTGACGTATACCAGATAGCGACGCTGACGTGTACCGGATAGCGACGCTGACGTGTACCGGATAGCGACGCTGACGTGTACCGGATAGCGATGCTGACATGTGCCAGCTCCAGGTTGTGTTCTCATCGTGCTCAAGTATTAGCTCATTTAATCTGCAAGACATCTTGAGGTAGGGGCAATTACTGCCCCATGGTACTTGCAAGGAAATGGGGCACAGAGCTGTTGGTGACATCCCGAGGCCATGCAGCTGTGAAGTGGCTCTGCGGTGTTCCAGGCGGTCTGAGGCGCTTGTTCTGGGCCAGGCTGCAGTGGCTCCAGCCCTGGCCTACAGCCCAGACCCTCCACAGGATCCCGCAATGTTCCAGGAGAGGAGCAAATCCCTCCAGGCCTTTGTCCTGGCTCCCAGGCATCCATCTGGTCCGACTGAGGACAGACGCAAGGCTCTCACTGCAGACCCCAGGGAAGGGGGTGTCTGCAGGGCCAGGGCCAGGGGCCCCACGTGGGGCTTACACCCCAGCCCTGTGTGCAGCGAGAGCTTGGGGGCCGTGAGATCCAGCGTGTGCCTGCAGAGCTCCTAAGTTTTCTGCCCTGGGTCTTGTGCCGGTGCTTGTTCTGACGTCTCCATTTCTTCTGTGTGTGTACGTGTGTGTCCTGGCTGCCTCCACCTTTAGCGTTTCATTGGGAAATGACACTAGGTACAGCTCACTTTTCTCTTCCGCCCTTGCTTGGTCTGTCCTCTTCTGCTCTTCCGAGTTCCTTTCTACTCGGCGTCTGCCTGCTTCTACGCCCTTTCTCTGACCACCCACTGTCCTTACTCTCCCGGGATTGCTCCTCCGTGACGTGTGTCTGACAGCAGCCCTCCCTGGTCCCTGCTTCCTTCCACACCCCCGACTTGTGAGACCCATGCCCTGCATCCCAGACCATGCTGTGTAGTAGACAGGGCAGCCCGGTGCCACCTGGGCTCCACCGCGGTCTCTGGAGGGGCCCGGCCGCCTTGGAGCCTGCGTGGCCGCCCAGCTGTGTGTGTTGATGTCTCTGAACTGTGTCCTTGTGAGGATGCTTGGAGGGGAGCTGGGCGAGGCTGGGCGGGTGGTGGGTGGGGGAGCTGAACCTGCTGCTCAGGGTCTGCAGAGTGGCCACACTCTGGATTCAGGCAAATTGTCCACCTTGGCTGTGATCAGTCCTCCCTGTGAGCACCAGGCCTGAGGAAGGAGTTCAGTCACTCCGCCATCCAGAGGGCTGCAAACAGGAACTCTCACGTGACAGAAAACCCTGTTCCGGAGTGGAGGGCACCCGAGGCGTTTGCGGAACGCAGTTCAACCCCATGGGGATGTACAATCCCAGGCCCCTGGGGTTGGCCCTGAGCCACCCTGGGACAGGGTTAGCGGGCAGCTGGCTCAGGCTGTGCTCACCCTAACTCCAGGTTGGAGATCAGGGACACAGCGAGGCCGCCGCTGTCTCCCGTGTGCTAACAGAGAGACACTCTTGCACACGGCCTCGTGGCAGCCGCCCTGCCTCCATGCCAAGCATCCTCCCCCCGGGGCCTTCCTCTGCCCGATGGACCAAGGGTGAGTCCATTGTCAGAGGAGATGGACCATGGAGGTTTTTGTCAAACCCGGGCAGGTCCCCTTCAGGTCCAGGGAGAGATGGTGGTGCCTCCTTACTCAGACTGAGGCTGGGGTGGGCCCGGTGCAAGCTCTGCCTTCTCCCTCCCTGCCTCTGTCCTTCCTCTTTTCTCTGCCCGAGTCCTCTCCTCCTGCCCTCCCCTCTCTCTTCCCTGTGTTCCCCACGTCCCAGTTCCTTGTCCTGCCTCCCTCTTCCCTTCCCTCTCTGCCCTTCTTGTTCTCATTCCCTGCTGCCTCCTCTCCTCCCAGCCTCAGCGTGACAGCTGGGGCACCATTTGTGGTGGAGCTGGGAAAATGCTGGGCTCGCCCCCATCAGGGCGTCTAAGAGACGCTACTCTCTGGGTCCTGAGTAAGGAGGGACCCGTCTTTCCTGGTACCGCTGCCCGGGCTTCCAGCCTGTGCCCCCGGCCGCTCCCTTGCGGCTGCCCCACGTCTGTCACTCTGTCTGTCTGCATGTCCCCGACCTGACTGAGGGCAGCCCCCATGCCATCAACTTCTACTTCATCTCTGCTTCCTCTCAGGACCTTTTACCAATTTGAGGCTGCGTGGGACAGCTCCATGCACAACTCTCTCCTGCTGAACCGGGTCACCCCTTACCGAGAGAAAATCTACATGACGCTCTCTGCTTATATCGAGGCAAGGCACCTATGCCAGGGCACGCCACCAAAACCACCCAGCCCCGAAGCTTGAGGTTCTTGTAAGCTCTGGACAACCCCAGATGACCCAGACGACTTCTCAAGTTCTCAAGTTCCTGGGTTAAATTCATGTGCCTTTTTGGAAAAAAACAAAAACAAAACTGGACTCTGCAAGGTTGAATACAGAAATCCATGTGCATTTTTTTTTTTTTTTTTTTTTTGAGACAGTCTCACTCTTGTCGCCCAGGCTGGAGTGCAATGGCGCAGTTTCACTGCAACCTCCTCTTCCCGGGTTCAAGCGATTCTCCTGCGTCAGCCTCCCAAGTAGCTGGGATTACAGGTGCCCACCACCACTCCCGGCTAGTGTTTGAATTTTTAGTAGAGATGGGGTTTTGCCATGTTGGCCAGGCTGTTCTCAAACTCCTGACCTCAGGTGATCCACCCACCTCGGCCTCCCAAAGTGCTGGGATTACAGGCGTGAGCCACCGCGCCCGGTCTCCATGTGCTTTGAATGGCAGTTAACTCACTCTGCTAAACTTAGTGTGTGGGTGTTGTCCTTGGGATGCAAGATGGCTGCAGCGCCACCAGACATTGTGTCTGCATTCCGGGCAGCACAGAAACAGAAGTGTCCCATCCCCATGGCCCCCCAGGAGTCTGCAGTCCACAGGCTGTGGCCAGACGTGGGCTGTGGCCTCCCTTCCAAGTGCAAGAGGCAACTGGAAGTGTGGGCGTTTGTTGCTAGTCATCATAGTGAGGGAGAGGGAGGATGGGGCGCAGTGGGTGGGGGCATCTGCAAGCACATCCCCTCTCCTTAGTTAGAGCCAAATTATTCCGGCTTCACATGGGGATGGCATGACCATCTCACCAGACGGTGGTGAGGTTGTGCTAAGGAGATGTTGGCAGAGCTCTTCCCAGCGAGTGCTTAGGACTCTTCAGCTGGGCATAGCAACTGCCCCCACTTCAGGAAGACACAGGGGCCAGCTGTTTAGCAGTCACCGTGTCACCCACCAGGAAGTCATTTTCTGTGGTGTTTGAGTTAAAATGCGCGTGTTCAAACAAGACCTGGTTTGATCCTCACAGACATTCCAAGGTTGGGGAGGGTGTTGCCCCAATTTTTTTGTTTTTTTGGGTTTTTTTTTTGAGACGGAGTCTCGCTCTGTCACCCAGGCTGGAGTGCAGTGGCTGGATCTTGGCTCCACTGCAACCTCTGCCTCTCAGGTTTACACCATTCTCCTGCCTCAGCCTCCCAAGTAGCTGGGACTACAGGCACCCGCCACCTCGCCCGGTTAGGTTTTTGTATTTTTAGTAGAGACAGGGTTTCACCGTGTTAGCCAGGATGGTCTCAATCTCCTGACATCGTGATCCGCCCGTCTCAGCCTCCCAAAGTGCTGGAATTATAGGCTTGAGCCACTGCACCCAGCCTGTGTCGCCCCAATTTTATGGTGAGGCAGCTGAGGCCCGAGCAGTGAGCCTGTGCCTGGGACCCTCGGGGTCCCACACGTGGAGACCAGTCCCTCATGTAGCCCAGGCGTGGACAGGGCTGTGGCTGCCTGTCATGTGGAGACCAGTGCCTCGTGTCGACCAGGCGTGGACAGGGCTGTGGCTGCCTGTCACGTGGAGACCAGTTCCTCGTGTCGCCCAGGCGTGGACAGGGCTGTGGCTGCCTGTCCCCAGTGGGGTTTGACTCCAGGGCAGGAGCAGAGACTTTCTCCTGCCTGGGTCCGGGCCACACCTGAGACCCTGGGAAGGCCCTGGGGCTGCCCGTTGGTGCTGGGCATTGTGCCCCAGGAGAAGGCTGGAAGGGCACCTGGGCACTTGGGGTGTCCTTGTGCCTGAGCCCCGCCCCCTGTCTATCTCAGATGGAGAACTGCACCCAGCCAGCCGTCATCACCAAGGACTTCTGCATGGTCTTCTATTCCCGCGACGCCAAGCTGCCAGCCTCACGCTCCATACGCAACCTCTTTGGCAGTGGGAGCCTTCGGGCCTCGGAGAGGTAAGCCCCTAGGGGTGAGGGCCACAGGGACTCCCACCCTGGTCTCGGTGCAGGCCAGGCGGGACTCTGCCTGGCAGCGGTCCTTGGGCCACCCGGCAGCTCACCCTGTGCGAGGCCCGGCCACACTCCTGGCTGGCTCCCTGTGCTCAGTCCCCTCCTGCTCACCCCAGATGGAGACTCCGTGGAGGCCACGGTTCCTGCAGGGTACACCAACACCTGTATGAGGGACTTGAGGGCCAGCCTGCGGGGGACGGGAGGAAGGGCAGGCAGTCTCACTGCAACCTCCGCAGTGGTGATCCTGGGGCCACACCGTGCCCCACTGCCGGTGACCGTCTTCCCTGGGGACCACAGGAACCTGTGCCATGGGACTGCCCATAAGGCCCTGAAGGAGAAGCTGGATACATGGGCGGTGCCTGGAAGGGGGCTCTGGACACAGCTTCCCACAGAACGTGCTGGGTGGCTCTTCTTGGAGGCTGTTGGCACCTTGGGGAGCCAGAAACCAAACACTGGGACCAGCCGTGCTTGCGTGCTGACCACATCATTGCGTGCTGACCACGTTCTTGCATTCTTGGGGGTGGGGGAGAATGAGCCAGAATGTCAGGGCCCTGACAGCAGGGCCGCCGAGGCTACCGGGCACCCATGGCTACCTTCAGTGGGTCTACCCATGGTCTGCCACATGGACCTGGCATCCAGGTTCACACTGGGCACAGCTGGGAGGAAAAAGCTTGGGAATCAGGACCCAGTGTCCTCGAGGGCTGACTGTGGTCGTTGTGGAGGTCACTCAGTAATTGTGCAATACTGCCAACCTGTCTGTGGGAGGGTGACCGCGGTACTCTCAGAATCTGTCCTGGGCACAGTGGGGCTGCTCTGTGGGGTTTAGGGCCTGCGGGGCTCTCGATGCCCTGGAGGGACTGGAGATGCCAGATGCTGTGCTCATGCTGCCTGTGTCTCCCCTGGGCTGGGACAAAGCGGAGGCTGCTGTGGGGGCAGGTCACAGCCCCATGGGCACCTGAGCAAGACCAGTCAATACATCTTTTCTCTGGGGGCCGGAGGGGGTCTGGGATGAGGACTCTGAACAGGGGCTGTAGCTGAGGGAGCCCGATGCCCACCACCCCAGCCAGGCTGAATGTGCGGTTGATGGTGGGGAAAGTCAGCAGCCAGGTGGGCTGTGTATCCTCACTGCGGGGCCTGGTGACCACGTGTCACTCCTTCTACTCCCTGCAGTAACCGTGTGACCGGCGTGTATGAGCTCAGCCTGTGCCACGTGGCTGACGCGGGCAGCCCAGGTAGGTATCTGCCCTGCTCTCACTGGGTGGCTTCCTGGCCTGTTCGACCTCTGCCCACTCGGGGTGACCACAGCTAAGCTGCCATTTGCAGGGGGATCCCTCACAGAACACAGGCACTCACCTTGTGGCTTCTGGAGTTGTTCCGAGATGGGAGGAGAGTGAGGGAGGAGAGTCAGGCCTGCTGGCTTCCTCGGGTTCCCAAGGCACAGCCGAGATGGCCACGGGACGCCGGGCTGGATAACTTCCTCTGGAGGGGGCCTGCATGGCTCTTTGGGCCCCAGGGTGGACCAAGGACCAGGGGAAACTCATCTTCACCCCAGAGGGGAGGCAGTTTCAGAGGCGGGCGGACCTCTAGGGTGGGTGGGAGGAGCAGCCGCCCATCAGGTCGGGATGGGGTGTCCGCATCCTCCGTCCAGGGATGCAGCGCCGGCGCCGGCGAGTCCTGGACACATCCGTGGCCTACGTCCGGGGCGAGGAGAACCTGGCGGGCTGGAGGCCCCGGAGCGACAGTCTCATTCTGGACCACCAGTGGGAGCTGGAGAAGCTGAGCCTCCTGCAGGAGGTGAGGCAGCCCCAGAGGATGAGGCCTGCACGGTCGTGTCCACGTGGCTTTGTCTGCAGAGCGAAAACGGGAGAGGGCCCAGTGCCTGGTGCCCGCTGGGGGGCAGCACAGCCCGTCGGGAGTCACAGCCACCTGCAGGAGGAGCATGTGACGCTCCAGTGTGCACCGCGGGGCTGTGTGGGCGTGACAGAAACACGGCCAGTGTAGCGCAGAGGCATGCTCTGGAGTTGCCGAGGGAGACTCTCAGGCATATAGACAGACGCCAGAAAGGGACCCGGAAGGAAAGTCACAGGCCCGGGCTGCCCTCTGTGGCTTTGATCAGGGAAACCAACATGCAGCATCTAGGCACTGCCTCGGGCCGAGTGTGGGTGACACATGACATGTGACGTGTGAGATGCGTGAGGCCAGGGCCGTGCCCACCCCTCAGCCCTCTCCCGAGGCCTCCAGCACTGCAGGGCAGCACAGCCCTGCCCCACAGCCTGGCGCGTGAGATGCATGTGTCCGAGAGGGAGCAGCTTGCTTGCTGGCCATGAAGGCGGCAGGGCTGGGGTGGGGGCTGAGTGCTGTCAGCCCTGGAGCGCCAGGATCTGTTCCCTCATTTCACAGCTGAGGGCCATCAGTCTCCAGTCTTAGCCCGGGGGAAGGGGGGGCTCTCCAGGGGTCTGCCCACAGGGTCATGCTGCTGCTGAGGCTGAGCCCAGCTCCAGAGGTCGCCCCTGAGGTGCAGCAGGTAAGGCCTTGTGTCCTGTCTGAAGGTGGAGAAGACCAGGCACTACCTGCTCCTGCGGGAGAAGCTGGAGACCACCCAGCGGCCTGTCCCGGAGGCACTGTCCCCGGCCTTCAGCGAGGACTCTGAGTCCCACGGCTCCTCCAGCGCCTCCTCTCCACTCTCGACTGAGGGCCGCCCATCACCTCTGGAGGCTCCCAACGAGAGACAGCGGGAGCTGGCTGTCAAGGTGGGTCCAGCTGGTGGGCAGCACAGCCGTAGCCCCAGGCCCTCAAGGGCCCTGAGTCATTCCTGGGCAACTCCAGCAACCCAGCCTTGCCCATGGCTGCTCTGGTTAGCACCACAAGGAGCTAGGAGCTCGAAGGGTCCCTAGGGTCCCCTTGCCCGCTGATTCCACCCCACCTACACTGAAAGTTGGGTGCCTTTTGCAGCCTCCCTTCCCAAGTGATGATTCGCTCTCTCTTGAATACCTGTGCTGATGGGGAGCTGACCACTTCCACCCACAAGTGGCTCTTTTGGCGGCTTAACGGGCCTCTGGGAAGGCCTCCTGTACTGGAGGCAGCACTGCCTCTGGCCCTCACACCAGGCGCTGAGCCTGAGCCTGACCCTGGGAGGCTTCCTGGGCTCACCCAATGATGGGCGGGGTGGAGGTGCTGTCCACCTTGATCCACTGTGCTGTGGTGTCGGAACCCACCTGTGTCTGGGGAAGGGTGGGTAGAAGAGCCTGCAAGGCTGGCTGAGCAGCATCCCAGGAGGCCTGGCCCCTGACCACGTGTGTGCTCTGTCCACAGTGCTTGCGCCTGCTCACGCACACGTTCAACAGAGAGTACACACACAGCCACGTCTGCGTCAGTGCCAGCGAGAGCAAGGTGGGTGTGGAGGGGCTGCACCAGGCTGCCCTGTGGGGCTGGGGCCCCCATAGGCAGTGGTCCCTGAGGAAAACTCCCATTCTGAGTGGGAAAAGGCAGTTAAGAGTTTCCTAGGAACACATCTCAGTGCAGAGAGACACCTCATAGCTAAGTGGCTGGTTTCCCTGGGTCGGCCTGGAGTCCATGGGAGGTGGGGACATGAGTGAGGGGCCGGGTGGGTCCTGTGACCTGGGATGCACCCACGTGCTTGCAGGCTTCTGCTCTTTTCCTGGCCCCCACCCTGTCTGGCCGTCACACTGTGGCCTCTGGCCAAGCCCCCACTTGGCTGTCCCTCCTCCTCCTGGGACTGACCCCACCCCTATAACCTGGGAAATTGCCACTGTGCTGCATCCAGCCCCGGCCCACGGCCTTCCTTGCCCCCATGGCATCACCCAGCGCCACCTCATGCTGGCACGAGCAGGAGGCAGCAGGGCAGAGCTTACCCAGCCCACTCCTCGAGGCATTGGCAGGGTGGCTGCCTGGGTCAGGTCAGAGCCTGAAGTGCTGGGAGGGGCTGGCCAGGGGCCGCAGGGGCTGAAGGGGGCCAGGGGTCTTGAGCTGGCCAACTTTGAGCCAAGGCTGCTGGTAGGAGGGGTGGGGTGCCCTGAGCGGCAGGTGCGGGGTAAACGCAGGCACAGGGAGCAGCACCTGCGGAGGCCGGAGACCCCACTTCCCTGTGTCCCCTGCAAAATGCCTTCTCTCCTCCGCAGCTCTCTGAGATGTCTGTCACCCTGCTCCGGGACCCGTCGATGTCCCCTCTAGGGGCAGCCACTCTCACCCCCTCCTCCACTTGCCCCTCTCTGGTTGAAGGGCGGTACGGTGCCACTGACCTGAGGTGAGTGAGCTCTAGGCTCCCGGAGAGGCTTCCGGCACCACGGCCGACCCATGGCAATGGCCATGACTCGGGCATGGGGAGCACAGAACGGGGGCCCCAACGGCCAAGTGTCTCGGGACGGCCGCAGGCTGAGGGAAGGGCCTGGAGAAGTGGAGTCTGCAGCCCTCTCAGAGGGCACCTGTGCCCCGCCAGCTCCATCCTAGTGTGTGTGTTCTCTTCCCTGAAGAAGACCAGAAATGCCTGGAAAACAAGCTAAAGCTCCCTTTTCCTGAGACAGTGCTTATAAAATAATGGAAAAAGAGAAGGTGATGAAAGAGGGCGTGAGCACTGTTAGGGTCAGTATTGCGGAGGGAACACCTGGCCCCTGCAGGTCCACATCTGGAAGAGACCCCATGTGAACCCCTTATGTCCGATTCATAAGCCGGCAGATGGTTTTCACTCTTGTTTTAAAATGCCTTAAGGGTTCCAAATTTTCGCTTAAAAAAGAAAGACAGTGGCATCAGCTGGCCTTGTCTTCTGCAGGCCTCCTTGACCACCAGGTCAAGTCGTGTGGGGCCTGGCCCATGTGGGGGCCCCATACGGGAGGCCAGCTGTGCCCTCTGCTCCAGTGGCTCCTTAGAACCTCGTGTCACCTTCAGTCTAACTGTGGAGATAAAGAGATGCTGGACTTGCTTTCACAGGGTGGAGGTGGGGGCAGGAGAGCCACTGGGAGAAGGGCATGGAGCGGGGCACAGGCTCCCTGGCTGGGGCCCTGAGGTTCCTGGGGGACCCTCCCCACCAAGCCCAGCACTTCCTGGAATCAGGCACAAGCTTGGCTGTCCTGATGGACGGGCCCCGGGAGCTCCCACTGTGGGCACAGGTGGGGAGACCCCACGAAGGCGCCCTACTGCAGCTCTGAGGAGGGTGAAGCCTGGGGGGAGATGGCCCTAGGCCCAGGGAGGCCTGCAGTGTGCAGCACTACCCTCTACTTCCCAGGACCCCACAGCCCTGCTCCCGACCAGCCAGCCCAGAGCCTGAGCTGCTGCCAGAGGCCGACTCCAAGAAGCTCCCTTCCCCTGCCCGGGCAGCGGAGGCAGACAAGGAGCCCCAGCGCCTGCTGGTCCCTGACATCCAGGAGATCCGAGTCAGGTGTGTAGGGCCTCCCTGGAAAGCACCGCCACCAGCTCCGTGCTGACAGGGGATAGGCAGGCCACGCTGATCCCCATACTGGGGGCGCAGGTCCCAAGTATGGGACCCTCATACTTGGGGAGACAGGCAGGTTGCCCGACCCCCATACTGGAGGTTCAGGCAGGCTGCCCCTAACCCACATGCAGGGGCAGCTCCATGCTGGGAGGTCAGGCAGGCCCCTGGGACCCACATGCCTGGGCTGGGAACCAGCACAGAGCACAGGGGAGTGGGTCAGAGCCAAGGCCCAGGTGGGGAACTCGTGGTCACGGGGCACGTGTGGCAGCCTTGCAGCAACTTTAGCTTTTTTCTTTAAGGTTTTCCATTTTATGGGGGAAACTGAGGCCCAGAGCTGGGTGGGTGGTCTGGTCTCCGGCCTGCTGGGTCGGGGTTCTGCCAGGCGCCCTTCGATGCCTCGACCCACTTTCTGGCTGGGGAGGTGGGTGGCACTGCTGCGTCCCAGCTCTGGGTGGTGGACGGTGAGTGCCCAAGTCAGCCGCCACCCCCACCGAGGGCCCCAGCGAGCAGCTCTCTGCCCTCAGCCCGATCGTCTCCAAGAAGGGTTACCTGCACTTCCTGGAGCCACACACGTCGGGCTGGGCCAGGCGCTTCGTGGTGGTGCGGCGCCCCTACGCTTACATGTACAACAGCGACAAGGACACCGTGGAGCGGTTCGTGCTCAACCTGGCCACCGCCCAGGTGGAGTACAGCGAAGACCAGCAGGCTATGCTCAAGGTGCGGCTTGACCCGGCTCAGGCTCGGGCACCGGGAACCACAGCAGGGCAGGAGCTGAGCTGCCGCCCTCTGCAGCCCTGCGTGGGAGCAGGAGGCCCTTCTGCTCACCCCAGACTCTGGCCCTCCGTCCTGTTCCACCGAGGTCGGGCTCAGGGACTCAGCCTCAGGCCTCTGCCTGCCCATGGGGCTCATGCTCCTGGCGACAGCTAGTGGGGATGGGCTCCAGTCATGGCAAGCATTAGTGTTCTCCTGTGTGATGGCTGCAGCCATGTCCCCTCCTCTGGAGTCACCCAAGGTGGTGGCACCAGCCCTGCAGAAATGGGAGAGCCACAGGGCTCAAAGGAGCCCTCCTACCCGCACTCTGCCCGGCCCCTCCCACTGGAATGGCCCTGGACAAGTTCAGGAGCCCGGACTCCTTCAGGCTGGCCAGAGGAGAAGTTTCTCTGAGCCATCTGTGAATGTCTACGAGATGGTTTTTTGATTCCCTGTGGTGGAGGTGGGTGGTACGGACCCACATCTGGACCAGCAACCCAGCCAGGGTCCCAGGGAGCAGGGGCCATGTGGGGCAGGCACATCCCGTGGGGATGCAGAGCAGTGGTGAGGGTGTCCTGGGACCACCGGCTGCAGACACGTCCAGAAGGCAGTCACAGCCCTGGCTGGGTCAGCCTTTCCCTCTGTGTCCCTTCCCTGGGACTTTCCTGGCGGTGCCCCTTCCCTGCCTGCCTGGGCCCTGGGGAGCAGGAGGGTGGTGTGCTGACCACACGGCCTGGCAGCTCCTCACCAGCAACCTCCCTCTGCAGACACCCAACACGTTCGCGGTGTGCACGGAACACCGTGGCATCCTGCTGCAGGCCGCCAGTGACAAGGACATGCACGACTGGCTGTATGCCTTCAACCCCCTCCTGGCCGGAACCATACGGTAGGGCTGCCTGCAGGGCGAGGTTGCTCCCACGGGGTTCCTGCCCTCAACCGGCTCCTGGCCAGGACCATTTGGTAGGGCCCGGCTGCAGGACGAGACTGCTCTCCCAGGGTCCTGCCCTCAATCCCCTCCTGGCAGGGACCATTCAGTAGGGCCGGCCGCAGGGTGTGGTTGCTCTGCCGGGGGTCCTACCCGCAAGGCTGCCTGGGGAAGCAGTGCGGCCAGGGGAAGGCGGTGCGGCCTGCCCTCGCTTGTGTGGGCTGGGGACACCCTTAGGGCTGTTAACACTCCCTGAGTCGTGGCTTCTTGTGGAGTGATAAATCCCAGGCCATACTTTCAAAATTACTTCCTCACCCAGTGGCCTTGGCATGGGGAAACCGTGTGCCCTGGGGCAGGCTGTGGAAGGAGCCGGTCCCTCCCACAGCAGGGATGTGAAAAGCAGGGTGCAGGAGGGGACGGGTGGGCTGAGTCCTACACACTGGAAGCAGAGATTCAGTCCCTTCCCCAGGTGGTGAGGGAACCAGTGGGGACATGGGGTCTGTGGCTGCCCCTCACGGCTGCCTGCCTGCGGAGGGTGTGGTGGATGTGGCCTGAGGTGTTCCTGGGCTGACCACGCTGCCTCTTCCAACTCTCCTGCAGGTCCAAGCTCTCCAGAAGGAGGTCTGCCCAGATGCGGGTCTGAACCCGAGCCCTCCCATGACAGCCGGCAAGCCCAGCCCATCCCCACCCTTGTCCTCGTCTGTCCTGTCACCTGCCACCCGGCCCCTCTCCTGCCAGACAGCCCACGACCGGGTCGACCCCCCAGGGGACACCCATGCCAGGCCCGGGGACCTGTGCCACACGACCAGCTGTGCTCCCAGCAGAGGCCGCGCGTGTCGGTTCTTCTTGCGTAATGTGCTCTGGTGGAACAAGCTGGGAGGGGCTGGGGGGGGGCCAAGGGCACAGGTCACGGGGTTCTTGCTGCCGTTCTAATATTTTTTTAAGCATAGACAGACTTATAATTAATATACGTTAGTTAGTGACATTGAAACGGTCAACTCGGAAATTAACTATAAGACTTGTTCTATTTATAAGTATTTATTTCTAATGCCTCCACATAGCCCTGTAATATTCAGATGGAACCCCCAAACACCTCCACCCCGTTTGTTCCCACGTGTGTCTCCCAAACCTGCTAGGGACAGGCAGGGCAGGGCAGGGACACCTTGGAAGTCCACAGTGAGGAGCTGTCTGGACCAGTGGGGCACTTTGGGGCTAGCACACGGGTGCATCACCTGGGCCCCAGGCTTCTCCACAGCCACATGGGTCCTGGGTGTATGTGAGGGAGGGTGGGGGGTCTTCTGGTGCCTGAAGTCTGAGCGGCATGGAGGGTGGTGTGAGTTCCTCTGGTGGGAGGTAGAACGCACATCTCTTCTGGGCAACCACCTGAGATGTGACTCTAAGAAGAGTTCCGGCAGCTTCCCCCGGGAAAGGGTTTGGGGTGACACTCAGCTCTGGCTCTGAGATGAGGCAGACGGCACCCGGGCTGTGATCTGTCCTGGGTGGGGACCGGGAGGGAGCAGGGTCGGGATCACCCGCCAGTGTGCAGACTATGGGGCTGTGTGCTGTCCGCGGGCCATCAGGGTAGGGTGATGGGTTGAGACCAGGATGTCAGGGAAGGTCGGAATTCAGGGTGACGGTCTAGGTGTTGAGGGCTGTGGTGCAGCCTCTTCAGCTGCGGTAAGAAATGGAGTGAGCTCAAGGTAGCTTCTGGGAAGAAATTTTGCCACTAGCAGGTTCCTTACAAAGACTTTCCTCTCTTTGTTCCCAGGGCAGAGTTTCTGTGAGTCCCACTGAGAAAATCCATGGGGTGGGGTGTCCCGATCGGTGGGTAACGGAGGGCGGCTGGCTCAGCGGTTACTATCTTTAAGGAGCTCTTCCCTTCTGCATCTGGAGTGTCCCTTTGTTCTTGTCCCATTTCACCCCCTCTACAGACACCAGTGTCCCAGGGCCACCCAGGACAGCACGGGGGCCAGTCCCAAGCTGAGAGTCTGTTCATAGGAGTCATGTCCAGGGGCCTAGGGAGGTTTTAGGGCCCTCCCCACCTACACCCAGAGGTCGATTTGGTCTCTTTTTAGCTCAAGGAAAGACAGTAGCCAAGCAACAGAGCCCCTCCTCCGCCATGGCCCACGGGAGCAGTTACATCGGGTCTGGTGCTCCAATGGCCCGTGGGAGCAGTTACGTCAGGTCTCACGCTCCAATGGCCCATGGGAGCAGTTATGTCGGGTCTTGCGCTCCAATGGCCCACGGGAGCAGTTACGTCGGGTCTCGCGCTCCAATGGCCCACGGGAGCAGTTACGTCGGGTCTCGCACTCCAGACCTAGGGCCAGGTGTTCTGGCATCGCCCAGCACTTTCACCAGATCTGCTTCCTGGAGTGGGGGAGACGCTGCACCCCACTGGCTCCGAGGCTCCTACCCTCCCAGGCTGTCCCCCGTGATGATGACATGAGCCTCAGAGACCCCGATCCCATGCCTGGGGAGAGACAGCAGCTCGGGAGTGGGGGAGCATGGGCCTTCTACACCACATGGGAAGGTTCTGGTGTGAGATTTTCCTCTGGGAAGGTTGTTTGGGCCCCTGAAGTTCCACCTCGGAGAGTGGGGTGCAGGGCAGGCGGGCCGGGGCCCACGCTGGCTGCAGTCTCTGTGGCTGCCTGCCTGGGACAGCCTGTTTCGTACCTGGGCTCAGGTGCAGTGTGGCCACCACCGCCCTCATCCCCTACCTGGGAGGCTCTCCCAGGGGCTAATGGGGGGTTTCTGTGAGGGAGAATCAGGGCTCAGGAAGCCACGCCTGGGAAGGCAGGACATAGGACACAGCAGTTTTCTTTGCAAATCTCCCAGGTGAGTGAGGATTTACATCCCAGAATAAAATTCAGAAGCCAGGTGGGCTGTGCTCCCCATGGGTGTCCTCTGGAGGCAGTGGGCCAAGACGCAGAGAGGAGAGAATGCAGAACAGCTTCTTGCAGAAGCGCCCGCTCCGGCATCCAGGGCTGCCTGGAGGCAGGAAGGAGAGGCAGGGGCAGAACACGCTGGTCTGAGATGAGTCAGAGCCCCACGGGCCCCAGGCAGGCTAGAGGAGGTGCAGGCCCTGCCACGGCCCACTCAGGTCAGCCAGCCTGAGGCTGCGGCCTCCAAAGGGTCTGGGTGCCCCCCAGGTCGCAGGTGTCTGAGGCCAGCCAACCTGCAGAGCACTTGCGGCATAGGTGGGCTGAGGGGAGGAGCCTGGGAGCTGCCTAAATTCAGAAGCCTCCACTGCCATGGAGGCTGCCTGGCTGTGTCCTCTCGGCCAGGTGCCGTCTTGGCCTTGGCTAGGACCCAGGGCCACGCCGCAGCCCTCGTCAACTCCCTCCTTCCAGGCCTGCTCTAATGAGGAGTGCCTGAGCCAGGGCCCAGAAACCCAGAGCTGATGGTGAGAGGAGGTCGCCTGAGTCAGGAAACCTGGCTTTTTGAAGTTCTCTCTGCCAGAAACCACCTAGGGATCACGTTAGCTGAGTTCCTTGAGCTCCCTAAGACTCAGTTTCCACATCTGTGAGGTGGAGGGCTGGTGTGGAGGTGCTCACGGGGTGCAGTGATCAGGAGACAGTCAGGCCCAGCGTGGCTGCTGGTTCCTGCTAAGTGGGGAAGGTGAGATCTGGAAAGCCGCTTCCCTCAGACAGCTTCATTTAATGCTTTATGCTGCCGAGTCTGGGGGCTTGTTTTGGTTTGGGGGCAGCCATCCTCCACCAGAAAGGGGGAGCTCCTTCTGCTGTGGCTCCAGATAGAGGGGGATGCCGGGCTCCAGGCCGACCAGCACTCGGGCTCTGATGAGACCCGGCAAGTACCCAGGGGTGCCAAGTCCAAGGCCTCCCACTGAGAGTCAGCCCTTGGAAGATGCCAATATTTCATTCACCGGTTGCACAGGCACAAACTCCCCCACCCAGGACGGCTGTGATGAGGTGGCCCTCCCTGTTAACCCTGGTCCCTGCAGTCCCCTGCGCCTGGGGCCCTGGTGGGACTGATGTCACGGGTGTTTGCTGTGCTGCTGCACTGGTCCTATGCCAGCCTCCCCCGTGTGGGGACCACGGAAGGCGCACTCCCTCACCCCTGGGGCCGGGCCGTGCAGCCCCCCAGATGGACAGCAGCTGTGGTGACCTGCGTTTCTCCCTGGGCCTGTGCTTCCTGTAGTTAGTCCGTCCCCTGGTTCCCCTGTGGCTCAGAGGCCGCGTCCCTGGCTTGTACATATGTGATTGCTGTGGGCACACCCCAGACCCCATATCATAGCTGCCGTCCCGACGTCACGACGCTCGTCCCGATGTCTTACACCCGAGTGTTAGCCTTAGGTTCCTGTACTGTGTGTGCACTTGAGGCTCTGTCCAATTAAGAAATAAACGTGGCTCTTACCGACACTCCCATGGGCTCTGCTGTGGCTTTATTTGCGTGTTAGGTGTGTTGGGGGGGCCCCAAAAAATGGTTGCAGGTGCACGCATCCAGCGTGGTCCAGAGACAGTGCCCCTCCCCCAGTGATGAGGCAGGGAGGGGCTGGCTCCCAAGGTGGGCACGGGGAGGTGGTAGGGAAGGCATCGAAGACTTGAATGTACACAGGGTGCTGGTCTCGGAAGATCAACCTCCACCTGCCTCCCTCCATGACCGGCTGCACCCCTGTAAACCAGCCCCGGGTGCTTCCCCAGGGACACAGCACCTACCACCCTCATGCCAGGCCACTACACCCATCCCAGGCAGCCTCTGGGGCTTGGACCCTTCAGTCTCTAGTCCATGGGGTCTGCGCCTGGGCCCAGATCCTCAGAGCCTCCTGGAGTTCTGGAGGCCGGGCCATCGCACACGAGGGCCTTGGTCTTGTCCAAGGCATGGCTGCAGTTTGGGGACCAGCGTCCCACTGATGGCTGATGGGAGGATGGGGTGACAGCCGTGCACTTCGGGGGACTCTGGACAGGGCCCCCCAGTCCTCAGGAGCCCCCAGGCCCTCCAGAGGTGAGTGGCTTTATGTCACAGGTGACAGCCATCTCCAGGACATCGAGTGAGGGTGGCACCTGCTCAGAAGACAATGCCCCTCAGTGGGCCTGGGAGGTGGACCCCGCTGGCCGGCATGGGGGCTCCGGGGCCTTGTGTGGGGCCACCCTCTGGCTACAGGTGGGAGGGGCTGTGTCAGGGCTGACATAGATACCGTTCAGCCCGTGCAGACTCCTCCTGTCTGAGAGGTCGTAGTCTTCCAGTCCTGAGATTATAGACTTAGAACTTTCTGCCAGCTGGGTGAAGGGCACGCACGGTTCCTCTCTGTGCTGTGTGTGTGTGTTTTAAAATAACTTCTTGTGAGTCTACCATTATTTTTAAATGAAAAATAAAGAAAAACCTTTTTATTCATTGGAGTTTCTAGTTTCTCTACAATGAATTTGTGTTACTGTGTAATTCTTTTAAAAATTAAGAGTGGGAAGTGAATCAAAACAGAATTCAGTGACTGGGCAGTGGGAAGCGAATCAAAACAGAATTCAGTGACTGGGCAGAAGCAGCCTCCTCACCGGCTGGGGAGGATAAATAAGTTAGCGTTGGAAAAGCTTAGGACAGGGCCTGACACAGACTAAGTGCTGTAGAAGGTTTCTGTTTTTTAAAACAATGAATAAAACTAACAAAATTAAGTAACAAGTGGCTGTGCCTTCCAGTGTTAAGGAGAAATCTGTCACCACCTCTGCTTCCACCTGACCTTGCTCTTGGGGCACCAGGGATGACGTGTATCGTCTGAAGGTTCTGGAAGATCAGGGAGTAGAACCAGGAGTGTGGGTCGAGTGGCGCTGGGCTTCCGTGGTTGGTGCCTTCCACCAGCGGTGTGACCGGGCTCTGGGACCAGGGACCACTTCTGTGTCCAGGGCAGTGCTAAGCTGGTCTTCAATACCGAATTTATTGAGAGTTTTTAGCATGAAGGGCTGTTGAATTTTGTCAAAGGCCTTTTCTGCATCTATTGAGATAATCATGTGGTTTTTGTCTTTGGTTCTGTTTATATGCTGGATTACGTTTATTGATTTGCATCTGTTGAACCAGCCTTGCATCCCAGGGATGAAGTCCACTTGATCATGATGGATAAGCTTTTTGATGTGCTGCTGGATTCGGTTTGCCAGTATTTTATTGAGGATTTTTGCATCGATGTTCATCAGGGATATTGGTCTAAAATCCTCTTTTTTTTGTTGTGTTTCTGCCAGGCTTTGGTATCAGGATGATGTTGGCCTCATAAAATGAGTTAGGGAGGATTCCCTCTTTTTCTATTGATGGGAATAGTTTCAGAAGGAATGGTATCAGTTCCTCCTTGTACCTCTGGTAGAATTCGGCTGTGAATCTGTCTGGTCCTGGACTTTTTTTGGTTGGTAGGCTATTAATTATTGCCTCAATTTCAGGTCTATTCAGGGATTCAATTTCTTCCTGGTTTAGTCTTGGGAGAGTGTAAGTGTCCAGGAAATTATCCATTTCTTCTAGGTTTTCTAGTTTCTAGATTTTCTAGTTTATTTTCATAGAGGTGTTTATAGTATTCTCTGATGGTAGTTTGTATTTCTATGGGGTCAGCGGCGATATCCCCTTTATCATTTTTTATTGCATCTATTTGATTCTTCTCTCTTTTCTTCTTTATTAGTCGTACTAGCAGTCTATCAATTTTGTTGATCTTTTCAAAAACCAGCTCCTGGATTCATTGATTTTTTGAACGGTTTTTTGTGTCTCTATCTCCTTCAGTTCTGCTCTGATCTTAGTTATTTCTTGCCTTCTGCTAGCTTTTGAATGTGTTTGCTCTTGCTTCTCTAGTTCTTTTCATTGTGATGTTAGGGTGTCAATTTTAGATCTTTCCTACTTTCTCTTGTGGGCATTTAGTGCTATAAATTTCCCTCTACACACTGCTTTAAATGTGTCCCAGAGATTCTGGTATGTTGTATCTTTGTTCTCATTGGTTTCAAAGAACATCTTTATTTCTGCCTTCATTTTGTTATGTACCCAGTAGTCATTCAGGAGCAGGTTGTTCAGTTTCCATGTAGTTGAGCGGTTTTGATTGAGTTTCTTAGTCCTGAGTTCTAGTTTGATTGCACTGTGGTCTGAGAGACAGTTTATTATAATTTCTGTTCTTTTACATTTGCTGAGGAGTGCTTTACTTCCAACTATGTGGTCAATTTTGGAATAAGTGTGATGTGGTGCTGAGAAGAATGTATATTCTGTTGATTTGGGGTGGAGAGTTCTGTAGATGTCTATTAGGTCTGCTTGGTGCAGAGTTGAGTTCAATTCCTTGATATCCTTGTTAACTTTCTGTCTCATTGATCTGTCTAATGTTGACAGTGGGATGTTAAAATCTCCCATTATTATTGTATGGGAGTCTAATTCTCTTTGTAAGTCTCTAAGGACTTGCATTATGAATCTGGGTGCTCCTGTATTGGGTGCATATATATTTAGGATAGTTAGCTCTTCCTGATGAATTGATCCCTTTACCATTATGTAATGGCCTTCTTTGTCTCTTTTGATCTTTGATGGTTTAAAGTCTGTTTTATCAGAGATTAGGATTGCAACCCCTGCTTTTTTTGTTTTCCATTTGCTTGGTAGATCTTCCTCCATCCCTTTATTTTGAGCCTATGTGAGTCTCTGCATGTGAGATGGGTCTCCTGAATACAGCAAACTGATGGGTCTTGACTCTTTATCCAATTTGCCAGTCTGTGTCTTTTAATTGGACCATTTAGTCCATTTACATTTAAGGTTAATGTTGTTATGTGTGAACTTGATCCTGTCATTATGATATTAGCTGGTTATTTTGCTCGTTAGTTGATGCAGTTTCTTCCTAGCATCGATGGACTTTACATTTTGTCATGTTTTTGCAATGGCTGGTACCGGTTGTTCCTTTCCATGTTTAGTGCTTCCTTCAGGATCTCTTGTAGGGCAGGCCTGGTGGTGACAAAATCTCTAAGCATTTGCTTGTCTGTAAAAGATTTTATTTCTCCTTCACTTATGCAACTTAGTTTGGCTGGATATGAAATTCTGGGTTGAAAATTCTTTTCTTTAAGAATGTTGAATATTGGCCCCTACTCTCTTCTGGCTTGTACAGTTTCTGCTGAGAGATCTGCTGTTAGTCTGATGGGCTTCCCTTTGTGGGTAACCCAACCTTTCTCTCTGGCTGCCCTTAACATTTTTTCCTTCATCTCAACTTTGGTGAATCTGACATTTATGTGTCTTGGAGTTGCTCTTCTCAAGGAGTATCTTTGTGGAGTTCTCTGTATTTCCTGAATTTGAATGTTGGCCTGCCTTACTAGGCTGGGGAAGTTCTCCTGGATGATATCCTGCAGAGTGTTTTCCAACTTGGTTCCATTTTCCCCATCACTTTCAGGCACACCAATCAGACGTAGATTTGGTCTTTTCACATAATCCCATATTTCTTGGAGGATTTTTCATTTCTTTTTACTCTTTTTTCTCTACACTTTTCTTCTTGTTTCATTTCATTCATTTGATCTTCAATCACTGATTTTCTTCCAGTTGATCGAGTCGGTTACTGAAGCTTGTGCATTTGTCACGTAGTTCTCATGTCATGGTTTTCATCTCTATCAGTTCTTTTAAGGTCTTCTCTGCATTGATTATTCTAGTTATCCATTCATCCATTCTTTTTTCAAGGTTTTTAGTTTCTTTGTGCTGGTTACATAGTTCCTCCTTTAGCTCTGAGAAGTTTGATTGACTGAAGTCTTCTTCTCTCAACTCGTCAAAGTCATTGTCCATCCAGCTTTGTTCCGTTGCTGGCGATGAGCTGCGTTCCTTTGGAGGGGAAGATGCGCTCTGATTTTTTGAATTTCCAGCTTTTCTGCACTGCTTTTTCCCCATCTTTGTGGTTTTATCTGCCTTTGGTCTTTGATGATGGTGACGTACTGATGGGGTTTTGGTGTGGGTGTCCTTTCTGTTTGTTAGTTTTCCTTCTAACAGTCAGGACCCTCAGCTGCAGGTCTGTTGGAGTTTGTTTGAGGTCCACTCCAGACCCTGTTTGCCTGGGTATCAGCAGCAGGGGCTGCAGAAGATAGAATATTGCTGAACAGCAAGTGTTGCTGTCTGACTCTTGCTCTGGAAGCTTCATCTCAGGGTGTACCCAGCCGTGTGAGGTGTGAGGTGTCGGTCTGCACCTAGTGGGGGATGTCTCCCAGTTAGGCTACTCAGGGGTCAGGGACCCACTTGAGCAGGCAGTCTGTCTGTTCTCAGATCTCTACCTCCATGCTGGGAGAACCACTGCTCTTTTCAAAGCTGTCAGACAGGGACTTTTACATCTGCAGAGGTTTCTGCTGCTTTTTGTTTAGCTATGCCCTGTCCCCAGAGGTGGAGTCTACAGAGGCAGGCAGGTCTCCTGGAGCTGCAGTGGGCTCCACCCAATTCGAGCTTCCCAGCTGCTTTGTTTACTT